GTTTTATTATGAAATTTTTTTCTCATTGATGTCGAGTCAGGTGAATTTTCGAATAAATTGCTCCAATCTAGTTCAGAGAATAGCTGATTCATTTGTGGAAATTTGTGACGTCATCGGTAATCCACACATTTTCAATCATAGCGTATAATGAATTTTCTGAAAGGGGCCAACAAAGTCGATGCAATGAAATGCATTCTCCTAAGCATTAAACACAGTGAATGAGTAAGATCATCAAACTGAGGCTTAACAATCATCTAAGGTTGCAGTGCGGAATGTGGAGGTGGAATGTCTCTTGCATAATGAGCTGCACACTTATATACTTTTCTTCCTTTATACTGTAACCAAGATATTCTAATTTTTGTTTCTTTTATATTGTCGTGCGAAGTGATCAAGTCCGGTCCTGCTCTCTAGGGCAACGCCTAGTCTACATCGATACATCCTAGAGAATACCAGAAAAGTCTTTGTACACGTACCGACTCATAGAGGAAGGGTTTTCGCTTTGTCCCCAACCGTCTAGAGATGACCGACGCGACGACGGCAGAATTACGAGATCTTTCTAGAAAAGCTCGATGTAGATCTAGAGTTGTTTGGAACATAACAGTTTACTTCCGACTTGGAAAGCAAAATGACTTATATGAAAAATAAATTTTCGTCTGATATTTCTTCCTTAGAAAAAAAGGTGTTTATGAAAAACGAAATTTCTTCCATGGAAAATGTCTTCCGTTGAGGAAAAAATAAAATAGTTGGAAAAAAAGATAGAAGAATTTGACCATACAGAACAATCCAAGAATAGTGAAATAAAGTGTCGTGAGGTGGAGTCAAAGTTAAAATTAAAATTAAATGCTGTTCGTATTAACGCCCCAACTTTCGACGGAAAGATGTGAACCAATTATCTGAAACAGTTCGAAACGAATGATCTAAAAGAGGCGTTTTAAATGTCCTTCAGACTATACGCGTGGAAGAGACTTAACATGTGATATGGCCACAAACAAAAACATAGCGATAACCTTACGATAAATGGGAAATGTAAGGACTTTGCGCAAACGCCCTAAGAATTCTTCGAATCAAAAAACCGTTCCGGCGGCTATACATGAAAGAATGGTGTTGCCTAATAGATGTGATACCATAAGAATAACGCGGTTGCAAGGAACTATATAGAAAGGAACGCCTGTCATTCTGGAACCTTCGAATCATAATGAAGGTGTTGATAAAGGAGTTAGATACACCTGTTAAAGAAGTTTCAATACCTGTTGTTTTTTTCCCACCATCTGGCTTAAGCAAAAATTACATTCTGTATTTTTGGAGCAAAGGCAACTGTTATTTCGATTTATTTTTCTCAGTTCAATAGCTCACTGTTTCCCTTTCCATAAAGGCTTACTTTAATAATTGTTAGAAAGGGTAATGGTTTTATAAGCTCTTAAAAATAAATACTGCATGTTATTTTCATTGTTCAATATAATGGTATTTTACTCTTTGTTAGATCGAGTTTTATATGTTAATCTTGAAAAATATCAACTGGAGTAACTTGTATATGACAGTATTTATTTTAAAAGCGAATAAAAATATTACGTAGTATTACCCTACGAAGCAATGGCACTTTTAGGAAACGGAAATATTGGACTTTCAAATTAGGAAAAATATACAAGGTATTGTATTAAATTAAATTCCTAAAAAAACAAGAGCAAATATATCTAGTCTAGTGAAGGAGTGCATTAATTTAACTTTCAAAACGTAGTACAGGTTCAAGAGGTAGACATTTTATTTAAACCTCAGCCTTCAATGCTTATGTGTAGTTAAAATGAACATTTTAATACATCTGATTGGCCTAGAAAAAGTTTTCGTTTAGATTTAATCATGTTCCCATGGTTTTTACTGTAATAAACATTTTCTTTTGACAGATAGGTGAGACTTTATTTATTCATAGCCGTATCGTATGTATTTTAATTGATTCGGAATTTTTTAATAATATACATCATAATTTTACAGTTATATAATAAAATAAGAAAATATTACAAGCACAAGTACGCATAAAGGACCTTAGATGAAAAAATATCGTACTTAATGTATTTAATAATCTTCGAAATAACTGTTTCACTTTCTGTGGATAAAATAGCCACTAAATGTGAGAACTATTATAAAGTATCTAAGCGGACAGTGTATAACATTATTAAAGAAGATACAGTTATTGAAGAAGTCTCACATCAGAATAAGCCCCCAGGAAGAAACAAGACCTTTATTGAAACTTGGGTAAAGAATGTAATAGTAACAGTAACAAAAATTTGACAAGATACCTCCTTTATGGAAGGGTTTCTTGTGGATTAAAAAATCCAACAGGAAAAGCAAATCGTTTAATAATAACCCACATTGGAAGCACTGATGGATATTTGCCAGATGGTTTATTAATGTTCCAGACAAAAAAACAGAAGACTACCATGAAGAAATATTTGAAAATTGGTTTCAGAACATTAAAAAAAAATTCCAGCCAACTCCGTTATTGTTTTGTATAATGCATTCTATCACAATTGATTAAAGGAGTCTACCTACAACAAGATGGAAAAAGGAAGATATTTTAAAATGGCTTTATTATTATTATTAGGCCTCTTAAATCATTGATAGCAGAATTACTCGTAATAGCAAGGCAACATAAAAGCAAAGCATATCCCGAAAAAAAGGAATTGAAATTCTCAGATTGCATCCATACAACGCAGAGTTAAATACCATTGAACTGATCTGGTCACAATTAAAAGGTTATGTTACTCGTAACAATGCAATATTTAAATTACCGGATGTGCGATTGTTTTTGAAGGCAGTTTCAGATGTAAATGGAGAACATTGGAGAAAATGCATCAATCATGGTAAAAAGGTGAAAAATTAATTTTGGAAAGTGGATATAGCAATGGAAAACTTAATAGACTCTATAATAATAAACCTTAGAAAAGACAATGAAAATGAGACTTTTAAAGATAGTTCTTGAACTTTCATTTTTTTTTTAATTTTTGATTTTAGTTACTGAAGTGTTACTTTTAATGCCGAGATTTAAAAAATTTAATCCCATTTACAACATATAGTCCTAGAGCCAACGCGCAGGTACGTGACTTATTTTCTTATGGCTGAATTTATTATTAAATTGTACTATGATACGTATTCAGACTGGGGCGCTTAGGTAGCTATAGGCATTACAAGTGGTACGTGCCTCTCAAAAACTTGACTTATTTTCTTAACATTTTCGTTATGCTCATTCGACTATAAGTGCCCACCTACAAAAAATATTAATGCCTCTTCCAATTTCGTTGCGCTATTTTTCTCTCCAACGTTTTAAAGTAGTGCGTGAGAAGGCATGCAAGTAATTTATTTTCTTATGACTGGTTTTTAATTTATTTTCAAGTTTTTCACAAAATTTACTTCCTCCACCATTTTCTGTGGGCCATTTTATCTCTCCAACGTTTTAAAGTGGTGTTTGAGTGAGCGTACGAGTGACTCATTTTCGTATAGCTGAATTTACGAGTATTATTAAAGAGAGTAGTAAGATATGTGTCCAACGATTTTACGAAAGCGCGAGATCTATACTGGGGAGTTTAGGTAGTTTGGCATTACAAGTGGTGCGGCCCTCTTAAAAACTGTCTTATTTTCTTAACATTTTCATTATGCTCGTTCGACGATAAGTGTGTTCACTTACAAGAAATATTGAAGCCTCCACCAATTTCGCTTGGCCATTTTTTCTCTCCAACGTTTTAAAGTAGTACGTGAGTGGGTATGCAAGTGACTTATTTTTTATGCCTAATATTTGGTTTATTTTCAAGTTTCAGTTATGTGTTTCACAAAATTCACCTTCTCCACCAATTTCGCTTTGCCTTTTTTCTCTCCAACGTTTTATTGTTTTAGTGTGATGCGTGAGTCGGCATACTATTTTCCAAAATGGATTCTCGTACCAAAGTAAGATAAACCTTTTCACTGAATTAGTATCCAATAATAAAATCGGTCCGTTTTTAGTGTCCAACAAAAATAAAGAAGTAAAAATAATAAATAATGGTTTTATATAAACTCAATAACTTGACAAAGTATTTTTGACTAGGTTTTGAGGACGCTAAGGTCGAATTCGCTCCGAATTCAAAAATGTTTAATACCATAAAAAACAATGTTTTAATATATTTTTATTGAAACATTTCATAAAAGGTTTAAATCAATATTTTAATACAATATGGCTAAATTTAGCATTTATGAACAGCACATTGAATATTTTATAATGATGAAAATTTAAAAATCGGTGAATATTAAAATTCGTTTATAGCGACCTTAAAAAGTCCTAATTGATTATTTACATTCATTTTGGCAAACTGTCAAGTTATTACGTTTTTATGTTTAAATCATTCATATTTTTTAAATTCATTTTTTTCGTTGGACACGTATCATAGCACAATAATAAATTTAGCCATAAGAAATTAAATCACAAATCTGCACGTTGGCTGTAGGACTAATATAATCCTCCTTGTTATTTATTGATTAAATTTAATTCGTTTAATTTTAAAGTGCAACAATTTGTTTTTATTTTTTGTAAATAATATAAATTTTTCATTTTAAATTTAATCTACGAATGCACATATACCATTTTATAATAATACTTAGATCTATATTTTGTTAGGTACAAAAATTGACAATATAAATGACAAGACGTTAATTTCCATAGCATGCTAAGAAAACGCAATTTATTTTTTGAAATATTGTATAATGTGTCGCGGACATTTAGGGGCATATTTTTTTAATCCAAAATATATCTCGCTAATGTTAAAAGTTTTTATATTTTTCAATTGACTAAATTTATGTAAATAGACCAAATAAAGTCGTACGTAGATAAAGTTTTCTTATCAAAACGCACTTGTATGTTATGAGATCTCATTATGTGCATATTATTGTTAAAATTCATTTAGGTACAAGGAATGTTGACAGTGCGATTTGTAACATATACTGACATGGGCGTAGAAAAAATATGTTACTGTTCCGATGTTAACTTTACCGTCTGTAAATTCCATAAAATTAAAACCTTTTTTAATTTGTTTCAGTGGGCTGACACCGAAGATTTCGGCAAGAAAAAAGAAATTAGATCGCATATGTACAAACTAAGAGAGCAACGTTTAAAAGAATTTTACAATAGTGGAGAAGTTTCAGAATCGAAAACTACTAAAACTTCGACAGTCTCGAAAAGTTCTACTCATGCCGACTCGCTGATTGACCAGAGTTTCAACAGTCTAAAAAGCAAAGAAGTCAGAGACTCAGAGTCTCCTACAAGAGAAATACATTATAAACTACCAGGTCAGACATACGCTATTTATTTTTTTATATTTAAATGTTTTTCTGTTTGTTTGACTGTACTATAAACGATTGATATACGGCTCTGTTTAGACTCTATAAAGAGCCATTTTAAATTATTTGTAGACATACATTACTAAAGAAAGCGTAGGCTCTATTGTTCCCACACTATACATAACTGCCTACTTCGTGGGTACTATCCCTTTACATTTTGGTGTAATTGAGGCTTTTTATAGTAATTTAAGACCACTTTTTCACTTTACAGTCAACAAGCAATTAAGAATTTTTTTCAAAAATAATGAATGTGATAATTGCGGTCATTTTAGGTGTGGGACATATTGATGATTTGAAATCACTTATTGTTAATGGGTATATCGTATTTAGATGCAGGATCTCTAATGTATTTCGCCTGGATTGTAATTTGGCCAGAATTCAACAACCACTCGGTAATTTAAAAGCGCTGTCTATAGTGACAACGGTAAAAGTTATCGGAGGCAATCGCGCCTGACATCTCGTATTGATATAATAAGTGCTTACGTTTTGTTCTTACGGGCAGCCCAGGAGCAGCACAGGAACATTTGACCTTGATTTTAGCTACTTAGTTCTTTTTGACAGCGGTTTTTTTTGCTCCCGAGTTACTCGTTTTACCTTCCCCTTTCCCTTCATGCACCACCTAATAAGTTGGTGCCAATTGCACTAATATGCATATTTGAGGTTATATTTATGATCTAGTATCTACTGCTATTAGAAAATAGGGAAATACATATGAAATCATTTACCTAAAATAGATAAAACTTTTTGACCCGCAGCAAAAGAAAACATAAATTATTTCTCGGCGAAGACGATTACAATTGTGCTGTGATAGGTAGGATTTAAATTATAGGAAATAAAACCTTGTTCCTTGTTTATAAATGTGACAATTGACAACCAACAAAAATGCACTTTTCTGCACTCGTCGTTAGTTGGCCGTTCGTTTTGTTCTAGCCCCGGAGTAGCTCCCATAAAGTGGTGCTTTTAACACTCATAAACAAAACGAAAGCAGCCATAGATTCAAGTAACGATTATACTTTCTGGTCAGGTACGCCCTCTACAATACCTTTTAGATTGGCTTTTTATAATATACAGGGTGAATCTTAAGTTGATAGTAGAGATCGTTAAAATAAACATATTCTTCAAATATCTTTTAAAAAAACTCAAAAATAAGAAAGATACATAATTGAAAAATATAAATAAGGGCCTGGAATTGTGTATCAAAAATTAAGTAAAATTAAGAGTCTGTTTATGTTTCTTATCTTTTTTACCTTTTTTTAGGTTTTTATTATATATGAACCACGCGCCAGCTGTTATTGTAATTCAATCGTCTGTGTGATTTTGATAGCGTGATTTCGATACCTCTACCTCGCGAGTCTATCATAGTCCCAGGACTTTTATTAATCTAACTCCTATGCACAGTTAAAAAAAATATCAACTTAGGGTCCACCCTGTATATGTACTTGGTCAGGAACACCTGTGCATACTGTTGCCGGTTGCAGGATATTTCAGATTTGCAGTCATTAATTTTTAGAGTTGATTTCATAAAAAAAAGTTCAATAAATATGGGTCCGAAAATCCTTACTAACAGATATATTTTTAATAAAAATAAAACTACTCAAAATCGATACCACGATATAATAAATATCAAAATACAACGTAGCAACTAGTTTCAGCCTATTTGGCTATCATCAAGACTGTAATGCAAAATTAAGTGTGAGAAGAACGTGGTGCAATACTTGAATATTATGAAATTTTGTAAAATTAAAAAATTTACAAAATTCATCCGTCAAGTGGTATAAACGTAGGTATCAACAAAAGACCATTTTATTTATAAGATGGTACAAAGTATATAAAACTAAGTGCAAGTTAAGAAAAACGATGGTAAATATAAAAAAATTAAAAAATGTAAAGGAGTAAAGAATCTACTAGGTGATAAGAATTAAGAAAAAGAAAAAATATCGTTTTGATAATAACGCGATGTAAGGCGTAATGACGTTTAGTTTCAACGTTGCTTAAGGAACTTAGTTGAAAGTACCAAGGATGCAGTGTGAGGTATTAAGAATAATAAGAATCAGGTATTTTACTGAATAGAAAACGTAGTTGGTAATAAAACATGGTTAAAAGTTCGAGTCCAAAGCGAAGTGCGGTGAAGATTGTAATGGTTCCATCGTACAGGGTGATTCTTTTATCATGGGAAATGAGTTTTTCTCGTAAACGGCTGCAGCAAATTGAGTATTTTATTTGGGCCGGCTAATGCTTAAAATTGGGATGGATAAGGAAGTTATAAATAAGCGACGCTGGGCGTCGCGACGCTTCAATTTTTTTTTTGTCAGAAGCATACCATTTTTATTTCAGAAATTGAAAGATCTATTCAATAGAAACACTTTTTTCAAATACCATTTTTTTCCATCTAAAACCATTCAAGCATTACAGACCAGTTTTTATGTTTTAAATTTGTCGATTGCCATACAAAAAATGCTGGGTTTTTAAATTTCACTAAATCAGGCAGGCTAACTTTTATGCTGATATTGACAACAAATATAATTTAGGATTTAAAGAAAACAATTTACAAGATGTTCCTACATTTAATAACACTTATGTAATTGTTTAGGAAATAATCAAAGTTTACACTAACAACCCATAAAACATACATAAAACATTAAAGAATAACATGAACTGTATTTAGTAAAAATTAATTGCTAATTCACAAATCTTATTTTAACAATTGCTCGATATATGCGCCATCGTTATCCACACATAAATTGTACCGCTTTCTTATTTCGAAAGATGTAACTTTTCTTAAAACATCACCAGATATTCCATTGCACGCATCAATAATTTTTTGTTTTAAAATATCTAAATTATTAGATTTTGTTTTATACACTATATTTTTTAAAATTCCCCATAAAAAGAAATCTAAGGGTGTCAAATCCGGAGATTTAGGCGGAAATTTCAAGGGCCCGTGTGTCCCCAACCATCTTCCGTGGTAGACTTCATTCAAATAATTTTGAACAATGACCGCATTGTGGCAAGGAGCTCCATCTAGTTGAAACCATAAGTTTCTTCTGATTTGCAGTGGCACATGTTCCAGCAAAAGAGGAAGGTGATTTTGGAGAAAATCTAAGTATCTTGGGCCCGTCAAGGCGCCTTCATAAAAGTATGGCCCTACTAAGTGCCGCCCGACTATTCCGCACCAGACGTTTATGCCAAAGTGGCCCTGTATTTGATGTTGTCTGATTTTGCGCGGGTTTTCGTCTGACCAATAATGGGTATTTTTTTTGTTTGGTAATCCATGACTAACAAAATGACTTTCGTCTGTCCATAGTATATGAGAAAATAAATTAGGATTGTCATCCAAAGACACCAAAAACTGACAAATAAAATCCTTCCTCCTCTCAAAATCTCTAAGCGAAAGTTCTTGCAAATTATGAAATTTATAGTCATGGTATTTGTTGCTTTTTAAAACTCTTTGTATCACACTATAATTTAAATTTAAGTCTCTTGAAGCCTCTCTTATAGAAGCTTCATGGTGATTGTTAAAATAATTTAAAATAATTGCCACATTTTCATCCGTCGTGACAGTTTTTGTTCTTGATCTTTTACCTGCAAATTTGGCTCATTGAATTTATGGGGATTTATTAAAAAACACAAAACCTACCTTCAAATGCTTTAGGGTTTTGACGTAAACTAGTTTCTAACCTGGCAAACATTTTGTGGTCTGGAAGGTTGCGTTCGGGGTATTTTTCCGCATATAATCTTCTTGCAGCTAAACCATTTTTTTGGGCTTCTCCGTATAAAAGAAGCATGTCAACTTTATCTGAATGTGTAAACATATTTCTTATTACTCACTATTTTAATAGGAATAATTGAAATTACACTGACAGTTTCAGACATCAATCAATATAAGCCAATTATGTTTTTTCAAAGCCTACCTGATTTAGTGAAATTTAAAATACCATGCATTCTTTGTATGGCAATCTAGAAATTTGGAACATAAAAACTGGTCTGTAATTTTTGAATGGTTTTAGATGGAAAAAAATAGTATTTAAAAAAAGTGTTTTTATTGAATAGATCTTTCAATTTCTGAAATAAAAATGGTATGCTTCTGACAAAAAAAAATTTAAAGCGTCGCGACGCCCAGCGTCGTTTATTTATAACTTCCTTATCTATCCCAATTTCAAGCAATAACCAGCCCAAATAAAATACTTTTTACAGAACCCAATTTGCTGCAGCCATTTACGAGAAAAACTCATTTCCCATGATAAAAGAATCACCCTGTACATATAATGCATGCGGAACGTGGTAGACTTTGAAATTCTGACCATTACCAAAAACTGTATGGGTACTTTTAAAAAGTAGAACTCTTTAATATTGAAGTTGGTAGCACTATTCCAAACTAGAAACTATGTAAGGTACTTCCTTAGACTTAGTCTAAGGGTACTGCGCAGAGATTAGCGACATAAGGATTGGAAACGCAACGACCCCAGCAACGATGGCGTCATCTATGCGTCTCAGATGTTAACTAAAGGCATACGTCGTTTGTAGACAGAACAGTGTTGCCAAATATTTTTTTTGAGAGATCGTACAAGTAGAGTAAAAAAATGGTATTTCGACAAAAAAAAATCGAGTACATGTATAGTATAATATAACTTAAATTGAATGAAAAAATAAAAAAACTTTGACATGATAATTTATTTATCTATTTATAAAAATGTTAACAATGAAAAAAGAAAATAAAGAAAATACATGAAACTTTAAATTAACACATTTAAAGTAATCAATGACTGTCACTTGAAAGTGATTGAAATTTTGCATGCGAGCTTCTGTTATGCCATGATAGTCGGTGTTGGTACAAAATCACCATAGTCAAAATTACGATAAGTGAGAACGAAAATGACTGCCTTCAGAAATTACGAACGGCCTATAAATCTTTGCAAGTAGTTTTTGATTTTTATTGTTTTATGTTCTGAAGTTGTTGCAGATATTTAAATGAACCTACTAAAAAAGGGAAGATCGTATTTTTACGTACGATCGTACAGACAGTTAAAAAATCGAAAAAATACGATCTAAATCGTACTGTTGGCAACACTGAGACAGACAGTAGACGTGGACAGCAGTGGACAGTTTGTAAAAATAAATTTCAGTTTTATGTATATCGAAGAATCCTGAATATAAATTTTAAATTTTGAGTTAATGATTGTGTTATCCTCTAGATGAACTAAGCGAAATGGTTGTAGCTGTTTTTGTGTGAAATTTGAGGAGAATAATTATATGTTGTAATATTACAATAAATCAGAGAACGTATTGAATTAGTAACTCATGCCACATAAATTTAACAATCCCAATGTGGCGTTCTTTAATTGACCAAAGTGAGAACTAGTCATGTAAGTAACACAAATAATAACCAACTTTTGTCACAAAGTAGGTATTTATTTATTGTTTATTGTTTTAGAACAAGAAAATGGCTTCAAAACGTTAGAAAGAAGATTTGTAAGGAAGAAAAAAGGTAATTATTGGGAAGACGCCCTTTTCTTAATAATCCAATTTTTTTTTCAAAACTTACATTTTAGGCTTAAGGAAGGACAGTAATCTTCAAATTTATCTGCGGAAACTCCATACATTTTACTTTTTTTTTTCTTTTTTATGTATTATTTAGAATTTTTGAGGATCATTTATATAAGCTTCTTTTTAGAATTGTATCTGTCCTGTCATACTGGAAACTGTCACGCCATTACAAATGCGCGGTGTTGCCAACTTCTCCAATCCTAATCAATGAAAAATAAATGTAAAAAACTATAATTACGCCACCGGTGGAGATCGCAAAAAATGTGATATTTTGGGTTCCATTAATTTTAAGAATTTAGAATTTCGAAAAAAAAATTGTTACACTAAAAAGTACTCATTTTCCCAATAATTACCAATTTTATTTAAATTGTTGTAATACACAATTGACTGACTATAATATTACATCATCTATAAAGTAATAAACAATGTTTACTTTTTAAAAACTCAATTACTTTACCCAAATTTATTTATCTGACAACATATGACTTGACGGCCGGAGTCAACGATTATCATCAACTAAAGAGGATAGCCGAATTCGTTTAATTTCTGCTGGGTTAGCCGTGACGTTATCCCCCGAATACGTTCAGCTACATTTAAGATTTACACCGATACACACTTTTTAAAATTACGACGTTTAATATTTTCTTACTTTAAAATTTAAAAGTAATTCAGATATTCAAAAATAATTTGACCGAAAGAGAAAATTACACGCATTTAAAAAATTACGGGAGTAAATAAATAGGTAATAAATTTGAATACCATGGCCATGTTATTTAAACATTTTTTAATTAACAAATATTTAAGAAATTTGACATGTTAGAGTATAATTTAAAATGAATATACAAAGTGTACAACAAGAAACTTGCTAATATTAAGCTGCCGTCATCTCACCCACCTTTTAACCACTATAAAAGAGAGCGAGCGAAGCGAGCGCGCCCGGCCGATGTTTCGAAATTCGCGCGCGCGCGAATTTCGAAACGTCGGCCAAGCGCGCCCTAAGTCTTTTTACATTACGGGTACAACATGGTATCTAAACGACATAAAAGTAGATAAGATAAATTAAAAATTTAACCAAAAAACAGCCTCTTTATGTGACCCGATTTCTTGTGTAATTAGAGTCAATTTTATTTTGTCAAGTTGGTTGCACTTCCCTTGTATGAACGGCCGATACAGCTGTAGGGTGATCAGCGATAAGACTTATTTTTATGTTGGCCGGCAGTTAAACCCCGGAAAAAGTGTCTGACTTTTTGGAATTATTTTTTTTTATATTTAATTAAGACGCTATTAAAATTTGAGCGTGAATCAAACACTTTTTTTGTGTCATATTTTACGACCCCTTTCTATTATGCGTAGTACCTGGTGTCCCGGGGTGGGTCAAGCCAACACAGGTATATCTGCTTTTCCATCCAAATGATTTCAAATTACAAAATTTCAAAGTGCATCAAACACTTAATGAAATGTGTGTTACTGGCTCTCCGGCTATAAACAGAGATTGGTTATCACGCTATGGCTCCAGCTTTTATGTATTCAAGCCGTACCTAAAGCATAGCCGAGAGAACAGAGCTAAGCCAGAGTATGTTTATAGAAAGTTGGCTGCTTTCCTTACATATTAAATAATTTAATTTAAATCAGTTTTTAATTTCTCTTATGAATATGTAAACAGTTTTTAAATTATTTTGGTTGAAATTCTATTTTTTCATTTTATATACGATTATGTCGTAAGTAAACAAGAAATATACGACTTTTGATTATAGTCCAGGATCCGTAAGTAAGGTCGACCTTCACCCATCTATTTAATGGATAAAAGGTTTTTTTTATTAAATAAAATATGTTTTTAAATATACCGCAAATGGGTTGCCTAAGAAAATATGGTCACGGTCATTTTTTACTTTCCTTTCTGTGTACAGATAAGGAAAATATAGGAATCATGAAAAAAAGTTGCTTATAATGTCATTCTTTATTATTTTGTCCCTATACATGATTTCCCTAAAATGGACCTAATTCGAGATATTTGAGAAAAAGTGCAAAATTTGAATTTTGAATATAACTCAAAAACGGATGAAGAGATAAACACCAAATTTTAAACTTAAGCTTTAATCCATCCTGCGGTGAGCTGGTTAAAATTTGGGCATAGTCGAAGCATCTGGGGAATACTTTACAGATTGTCGTTTTTTTACTTTATGAAAATAAATAGTCTGGACCGTATTTTTTAGGCAACCCATTTGTGGTATATTTATAAACATTTTATTTAACAAAAATAAACCTTCATCCATTAAACAGATGGGTGAAGGTCGACCTTACTTCGGATCTTAGACAATTACTTCAATTTTTTTAATCTGGCAATTTATAGATTATAACTAATCCTGAAACTTATAATTTCATAATCTATCATATGTATAATGAATGTTTTGTGAATATAACCTGAACAATTGAGTTTTTAATTAGATTTTCGATAATTTCTTTTACAAACATTTACTATATAAACTACAACCTTTTGTGTGTTTTTTTTTTTTGAAATTCGCATCTCCGAATAGTAGGATAGATCCTAAATAAAACATGTTTTTTTTAATAAAAATATTTAGGAAAAGAGACAAAATTTTACTATATCAAGGAAAATCTATCTGCAAAATATTAAATTTTTATTCAGTGCAATTGTTGAGTTTTGGCAAAATAAAAATTTATATGAAATCCTTTAACTTAGATATCTAGATAATAATATATGTTGTGCCCATTAATAATGGGCGATTAAAAGTATTCCACACCTAAAAACATTTTTTGTCCTTTTAACTCAGTAACACCCTGTATTATTTCAGATAATAATGAATGGCAGACTTCATCTAACAAAGAAATCAGCAAAGACGGCAAAACTAAAATCTGTCAAACTGTAGCAGCTGTGCAAGGCTCACAAAAAATCGAAGGAGGTCAAATGGATTTTAAAGCTAGAAGTGAACAAACATCGAGTGTTTACGAAGATGCAAATACAAAAGCTGTATCAAACAAATTTCAAACTTCTGAGTCTGCCGCATCACATTCGATATCAACGAAACAAATCCCCACAGAACAAATCGAATTACCAACGAATCTGCAAGGAGCCAAAATAACTCGAGAAACTAAAACGTTACCAGATGGCTCTATAGTCACAACAACAAGATATGACACTGAAAGTGGTGCTTCCGAAACTTGTGTCCAAAATGCTAAAGTTAAAACTTCCCAAAGTTCATCTTCGTCCCGCCTAGTAAATCAAAGTCAATTTACATCTGAATCGGGTAGCTTCCAAGATGTTACTAAAGTTAAAAGTTTACCAGAACAATCTGTTGTATCTACATATGACACCGTAACAGGTTCTAATCTGAATACTACGCAAACTAGTCAACAAAGAACAGCACAAACTTCCTCTTCTGATCGAAAAGTTAGTGAAAAAGATACAACTTACATTTCATCTGATTTACCAGCCAACATACAAGGAGTAACAAAAGTTACTCGCGAAACTAAAACTTTGCCAGATGGAACAATAGTCAGAACCACCAGATATGATACAACCGGTGCCACTTCACATTCAGAAATGAAATCTAATGTGAAAGTTTCAAAAGAACATACTTCGGCTATAAATTCTTCTTCAAGACAAAACCAGCAAGAAATTATTAATGAATATGGGACTCTTAGAGACAGTCAACAAAATTACAGGCAGCAAAATATGGATATAAAAAATTATGACAACAGCTTTAGAACTGACGAAAGTATTAGAAAAGACCACTCTAATGAAAACAGAAGTTCTGTGATGTCAACCGATGAAAAAATGCATAATGTTGACCAAAGTACCTCAAAAGTTACTAAAGAACATCACATGAAAGAAAATATTGTCAATAAAACATTCGTACAGGAAACTGATGGTAATAAAATGTCGCAACTAATTAGTACTTCAGAAAAACAACCAGTTGTTAATTACGAATCCATTACAAATGTAAGTAACATTAACAGGCATAAGGACTATGTCACTGGAAAAACAAATGCAGATAACTTTGAGTCTAATCAAAAATCTACCACGAGAACTTTAGAAACGACTGAGTTTCCTTCTCAAAAGAAATCTCCTATGGAAGACACTTTTAAAACCACAACAGATGAAATAGTAACCAACATTACTACCCACAAAGGAACTACATCTGAAAAAATTCGAACAGACAACTTTGTCAACACCGAACGACAACAAGAACATATTACTAGAGACAAGAAAAATGAAGATGTTTCATATTCAAAACTATCAGATAAACCTACTAGCACACAACCCCGAGGAAGAAGTCCTACCAGGGTTCCAAAATCTGAATATCAACCAAGTAAACCTTCAGCAGGTCAATACGACACGACCTACAAAACTGACTATACTAGCAAGAAAATTAGTGTTGAAGTAAGCCCCACTCACGATGCTTTTGCTCGTTCTTTAAGATCCGTTACTCCTGAGAGAATTCACAGACGTGATAGCCACAGAACAAGTAACTCATCTCTTCCAGAAAAAATGAGACACCCTTCCAGATATTCCCCAGAGCGTCATCCAAAAGATAGAAGTGTCAGTCCAACAAAATCAGATAGGTATTCTAGTACTGATACATATATTCATGGCAAAAATAAATATGATCAAAGAAGAAGAAGTCCATCACCAAAAAGAAAATCTAATACATTAGGAAGAACTACCAGTAATGAAACTATTACCATTTCTACGACAGCAAAATTTGATGTTACCAATAAAAAAGCAGTTACAAGAAAAAGCAATACCGATATAAATACAAAATCAAGATCTCCCTCGCCTACTAAATTTAAAGATTACTTACGCAGAAGCGGTAATATAATAACAGACCTAGATGATGACGTTACTATAACCACTACCACTATCAGTAAGAAAACTACAACTGAATCTCGACCTTCTAGCTTAGAGTTGACTAAAAAGTCAAGAAAAATAACTGATCGATCACCTTCATCACCCTTGGCTGACGCAGTTTCTCCTAAAAAGTCACCTACTAAAGAAGTAAGAAGAAGCAGCAGCTTTAGATCACCTACACTAGACAGTCCAAACGAACCTCTACGTAGTAACTTAAAGTCACCTACAAAAGAAAGTCCTTCAAAATGTCCCCCTGGAGATAGACCGTTAAAGAGAACTGATACCTACGAAGAAAGATGCAGACAAATATTAGGTATAACTGAGGTTTCCGATAAAAGAAAGAGTAGTTTGGAGAGATCTTTGAGTAAAAGAGGTTCTTTTAGACGAAATATTTCTTCATCAAATGTTGATACTACAGTGAAAACATCTGAAACAATTCAAAGTCCAACTAGAACTGAAAAGGAACCATTAAAAAATTCTACTTCTACAAAGGTTATCGATACTAAGAAAATCACGACAACTGATGAATCACTAACAATAAGTGACAAAAGAAAGCCATCTTCCAGACCTACTTCAAAGGATTTTAGCTCTGACGTTACGTTGGAAACCGTAATTACTCAAAAAACTACTGTCGAAGATAAACCTAATAAAAAATCTCCTATAACTGAATTTCCATCACAAAGAAGATCTCCATCAAGAGAATCACAGAAAACTGTATTACATACTGACGAGATTATAACTAAAACTACTTCTCAAAAAAGAACAACTACAGATGATCTAGTAACAACAAAGAGATCATCAGTAACTACTCATCCAGATTCTCCAACGCTAACAGTAAGCGACAAAAGAAAGCCATCTTCCAGACCTACTTCAAAGGATTTTAGCTCTGACGTTACCTTGGAAACCGTAATTACTCAAAAAACTACTGTCGAAGATAAACCTAATAAAAAATCTCCTATAACTGAATTTCCATCACAAAGAAGATCTCCATCAAGAGAATCACAGAAAACTGTATTACATACTGATGAGAATACAACTAAAACTACTTCTCAAGAAAGAACAATTACAGATGATCGAGTAACAACAAAGAGACCGTCAGTTACTACTTATCCAGATTCTCCAACGCGTACTAGATCTCCAGGTAAAGAAGTTCCAAAAACCACTACTGGGTTAAATAAACTATCGACGACTGAATTTATTTCACAAGAAAAAATCAGCACTTCAGATAATTTTATAAAACATCAAGAAACTCTCAAAGCAAATTCTGGTCGTCCCATAGACGACAAACCGTCAACAAAACAACCAGGAATTACAGAGTTTCCTTCTCAAAAAAGAACTCCTTCTAAGGAAAGTTTAAAAATCAGCAAAAATAAAACTGTTTCGATTGAGGACTTAGCTTTCCAAGAAATTTCCACATCCACGAGACCTAAAATAACTGAATGTTCTTCACAGACGACGTCTTCTTCTAGAGAAACTCTGAAATCCCAAAATGATAAGAATGTGTCCAATAATGATATTGTTACAGAAGAAATAATTTGTACTAAACAAGACACAACAGAGGAATACGACGCTACAAAGAAACTATCGAAATCAAGGCCTACGAAAAACCAACCTGGCATTACTGAGTTCCCTTCTCAAAAAAGATCACCCTCGAAAGAAATAAGAACTAAGGCGGACAAAACTGTTTTAGTTGAAGAGAAAGTTACATCGGAAACTACAAACCGAATTCAAGATACAACAGACTTTTCAAAATCAACAGTCCTTTCTACTGATATTCATAAGAAAAAGGGACCTTCAATAAGTGAATTCCCTTCGCAAATTAGACATTCGAAGGACAAATCACAAACCAGTTTAGATCAAAAACAAGAAACTCCTAAATTTATTTCTAAAGAAAAAATTAATAAGATTGATTTAGTTTCTAGTACCGAAGATATAACGAATGAATTTGAAATTGTTGCAGTTACTAAAACCAAAGCGGTACCTAAGGATAAAAAACTTTTAGAGGAACCACTTAGTGAATTTTCTCCTCAATCTAAGTCACCAAACAAGACTGATACCGTCAAAATTGATAAGGAGGTTACCATTACCGATACAGAGGTAGTTGTTGTATCAAAACCAAAAGGGAGTCGACCATCTCCTTCTATTGAGCAACCCAAACAAAAAAAACCGTCAATATCGGAATTTCCGTCGCAAACTAAATCTCATACAAAAGAAAAACAACACCCTGTTAAAGATACAACTACAGTAACTACAAATAAATTTATTACACAAGAAAAATTAGCTACAGATGAAGTCACCTTCAACACTGAAGAAATAATAAGTAAATATGTTAATAATAATGTTAAAAAAGCTTCAAAATACGTTTGTAAAGGTGAACAACCTACAAATAAAACACCTGTATCGGAATATCCCAACCAAACCAAAGTTACTTCAAGAGAAACTACAAATACAGAAAAAGTTGATACAGAAGATATAACAGATATTATTGACGATCTTATAATTACAGATATAAACGGCGATATTCCAGAAACAACATCTGCTAAACAAAAGAAACGTGGTTCAACTATAAATGAGTTTCCTTCACAAACGAAACCTAAACAAAATGTAAATAATACAACTGATTTACTAAAAGAAGTTGTGGTAACAGATGAATTTGAAATCAATATTTCTAAATCAGATAAAAACCCTACAGGAAAAACACCTATTACACAATTTCCTTCACAAATTAAGAAAGAACCAGTAACTAAACAAACAGTTAATAAAAATATTCCACAGAAGAAAATTATTCCCAAAGAAAGGCCACAAATTACAGAGTTTCCATCTCAAATAAGAAGAGATAAAAAATTAACTAATAAGGAACCAACTCTTACTGCAAAACATGTGGAGCCAATAAGTTATGAAGGTAGAGTTCCTGTGGAAGAACCACTTTTTGTCAAAAAACATATAAATACCGATTGTCCAGAGGATGAGCATAATAAACACCACATTGTTAAAAAAGTTTTGCCAAGTACTGCTCCAAAAAAACTTCAAAAGCAATTTAGCGTAGATAAACCAGACAAAAAATCAGAAACACCTATAGGTAAGAAACCACTAAATGGAATAACTGAATATAGACATCAATATTCAAGCCCTAAATCTACCCCAACACCAAAAACTAAACCGTCCAAATCAGAAGAACCGGAGAAAGTATTCAAACCTTCAAATAAAATAAATACATCACCCTCTAAACCTTCAACCAAACCAATTAATGGTATAGGCACAACAAAAGTGTTTGTGACTTCAGTGAAAAAAACTGATCAACCGATTTCTGAAACTATAATCAGGAAAACCTGCAAATCAACTCTATTAAAGGAAAACGAAAGTCCCGAAAAATCCAAAAAGATACCAACTCGAGTTACTTCTACTAGAGGTGTTACACCAACGACAAGGCCAAAGTCATCTCAACCGGATCAAGTTGTAAATAAACATTTAGTGACCACAACTATAACTTTAAAGAATGGTCATCAACCTAAAAGTTCCAAAACAAAAGAACATTTATCTAAATCAGCAAACATCACAAACTATGAAAAGAAAATTATTGACATAAAACAAAGAAAAAACTTAAACGAGATTTCTACGGAAACCGATGAAGAATCAGTTGTTGAAGAAATGACAGAAAACATTGATGTAACAAGAAAGAACGTCGCAAAACTCAACAAAAAACTTGACAAGAAGTGCATAACAACGAAAACAGTTATTATAAATAATAACAATACTCAGCCAAGAGAGATTATCGTCGATTTACAAAGATCTACGTCTTCAAGAGAACCTACACCAGACATAATTTGTCCTGTACCATTTTCCAGAAAAAACGGAGAATCCGAATTACCAAGATACCCCGATGAAATCGTTGAGCCAGATGATGACAGTATAAAAAGAAAACCAAAAAGATTATCTGATATTCCTCTCATTGAATACGAAGATACAACCAATTTCAGTAGAATCACTGAAATTGTTGATTCACATGTTATCACAGAAAGGGACAAAGTAGACCACACAGATGAAAGTCTGTTAAGCGTTAACAGAAAAATTAATTTATTTTCAGATACATCAGATAAATTAACTAAAGATACCAAAAAACCTTCGGGTCCAGCACCAAAAGTAGAAAGACCTAAATTAAATGTTACTAAAGATTTGGAATCTGACGAATGTCTTTTAAGTGTTTCTGAAAAAGTAAACAAATTTGTTAATACTGCTGAACAGTTTATGAATGTTCATGAGTTATCAGAACGTCCAAAGAGTCCAAGATGTAAGTACAGCGATGTTAAAACTGCTACTAAAACATTCATTAATAAAGAGCAGAAAACTACAGAAAAACAAAACACTAGAAAAATATCACTAGAAAATTTAGATATTGATACTAAGAACATCACTGAGAGAAAATCTAGTAGGACAGCAAGTCCTGACTCAGTTACTCATCGACGACGATCTCCAAGTCCCAAATCTGAAAAGTATCCTAACTATAATACAATCACCAAAAAAGTTTCATTAGAAATTTTGGATTCTAAAACGCCTACAAAACCTCAAGAACGTCCTCGCGCTAAAACACCAGACCGTAATTCTCCTACCAGAAATGATTTTACATCAAAACATGGAAGCACATTTAAAGAATTTAGAGGAACAGATATTTCGACTACAGTTAGAAGAACATCTGAATCAAAATCTCCAAGAAATGTTTCTCCCGAACCTGGTAAGCAAACAACTCCTGATAGACGACCCTCGAACGAATATTCGAGCATTAAAGATCTAAAAACACAAGACCATTTAGCTAGGAGAGATAGTTACCCAGAACCAAGTACTCCAAAAACAAGTAGAAAGAAACCAATAGAAGATAAAAGAACAATATTAAGCTCAACAGGTAGGCTCAGAAGTACAGAAAGCATTAAGAAAGCTCGAGCACTCTTTGAAAACATTTCCAAAGAGCAACAAATTGTTAGACCCTCCAGCAGAACTCCGGAGCATTATACGTTACCTCTGAATAGAAGTCCAAGACCATACAGTCCACATAGAGATAAACCAGCTACTTCTCGAGATCATTCGTATGATGTTCACTCTGTAAAAGGTGAAGTTCCCCATTATATGTTACCTTTAGATAGGAGGCCCGATAGTCCACATGGAGAAAATGTAGATACTATTCACGATGATTCTCATAATATATCTGATGTTTACGTTGAAGGGGAAATTCCTCATTATATGTTACCCTTAGATAGGAGACCACATAGTCCACATGAAGAAGATATAGATCATTCTTCACCTGATATTCCGGATGTTCACTATGAAAAGGGGGACATTCCTCATTATATGTTACCTTTAGATAGAAGACCACATAGTCCACATAGAGAAGACATAGATCATTCTTCACCTGATATTCACTATGAAAAGGGGGACACTCCCCATTATATGTTACCACTAGATCGAAGTATACCACATAGTCCACATAGAGAAAATTCAGAACATTCTCTACATATCCACCATGAAAAAGGTGAGATTCCTCATTATATGTTACCTCTAGACCGAAGTACGCAAGATAATCCTCATAGAGAAAATATAAATCATTCTTCATCTGATATTCACTATGAAAAAGGCGACATCCCCCATTATATGCTACCTATAGATCGAAGTATGCCACATAGTCCACATAGAGAAAATTCAGAACATTCTCTACATATCCACCATGAAAAAGGTGAGACTCCTCATTATATGTTACCTCTAGACCGAAGTACGCAAGATAGTCCGCATAGAGAAAATATAGATCATTCTTCATCTGATATTCACTATGAAAAAGGCGACACCCCCCATTATATGCTACCTCTAGATCGAAGTTTGCCACATAGCCCACATAGAGAACATTCAGAACATTCTCTACATATCCACCATGAAAGAGGCGAGTCTCCTCATTACATGTTACCTCTAGACCGAAGTTCACAACCTAGTCCACATAGAGACAATAAATATCATTCTTCATCTGATATTCACTATGAAACAGGGGACACTCCCCATTATATGTTACCTCTAGATCGAAGTATGCCGCATAGTCCACATAGAGAAAATTCAGAACATTCTCTACATATCCACCATGAAAAAGGCGAGACTCCTCATTATATGTTACCTCTAGACCGAACTACGTCACACAGTCCGAATAGAGAAAATATATCATCTACTCATGATCTTTCTTCATATAATACTGCAGAAATTCACTCTGAAAAGGGGGACATTCCTCATTATATGTTACCTCTAGACCGAACTATGCCACATAGTCCACATAAAGAAAATCTAACTACCACTGAGAATGAATCTAGAACAACCAAGTTTGGAGTTACCCTAAGGAAAACATCAAATTCTACTAGCCCTACCACTAGTTCTCCTGGAAGTATTATTACAAAAACATCTACTGAATGTAGAGTTGGAAATATTGAAACTTTGACAGAGGAAAAAATTCAAGAAATATTTGAAATAGAAATTTTAGAAGAACTGGTAAGTAATTTTTTCATTTTTTAATGCGATTATAAAATAAACCCTATGCTGTTGACAAAATTATTGCACATTAACATTGCAAGAATTAAATTTAACCAATAAATAAATGACTCCTTTAATCGACTGTGATAGGATGCATTATCCAAACCAATAACAGAGTTGGCTGGATTTTTTTTATAATGTTCCATACAATTTCCTTTTCTTTTCTTTTTGTTAATCCACAAAAGTCCCCTTCCATAAAGGCTTGTTTTTTAGTTTTGATAGAGGTATTTTGGCAAATTTTTCTTACTGTATGTGCAGCATTATCCTATGTTTCATCTAAATAAAATATCTGTTTATGCTGATTCCTTGTGTCCGCTATTTTCCTTAAATAATCATGGCTCTACGCAATGATTTCGTCTTTCTCTGTTAAAAAGCTGTTTCTGTCATGTTTTTTATAACGAAAATTTAATTCAAGTAATATTTTTTGCAGACGAAGATATGATATATTTGGATGAAACGGGGCTAATTTCTGTAGGAATTTCATTTTGAAAGAAAAAAGAATGTACCATATGTCCAATTACATTATTTACCAAAGTTTCAATAAAGGTATTATTTCTTCCTGGGGGCTTTTCCGAATGTGAGACTTCTCCAATAACAGTATCTTCTTTAATAATGTTATACATTGTCCGCTTAGATACTCAAGAATAGGTTTCACATTTGATGACTATTTCATCCACAGAAAGTGAAACAAAGTCTTCTCGAAGATTATTAAATATATTAATTACGATATTTTTTTCTTCTAAAGATAATATTTACGCGTACTTGTGCTTGCAATATTTTCTAATGCACTTGCCATTCTTATACCGGGTGTTTAAATTAAAGTGTTACAGCTAAATACCACCTTTTATAAAAAAACGTTTCAGACGAAAGTTTTACAGTTTTGTGGGGAAAAAATTTTGGCAAAAATCGTTTTTTATAACTAACCATAATATGGCCAACTTTTTTTGGCCCAGCAAAATTTTCAAGTAACTGTTACTCAAAAAGTAAAAGTCCAATAAAAAAAATATTTCCATCAAGTTTCTTATTTTTTTATGTCCTTTAAGAATATGTAAAAAAATGGGATTCCCATTTAAAAAAACAAAGTCCACCTCGATATGGCCATATTATGGTCAGTTATATAAAAATGAATTTAGCCAAAATGTTTCTCCCAAAAAACTATAAAACTTTTGTCTAAAACTTTTTTTCTAAAATACATATTTTCGGCGGTATTTAACGGTAACACTTTAATTTGAACACCCGGTATAACTGTAAAATTATAATAAGGAAAGTGAAGAAGAGCAGACCACATTTTAAAAATCAAAATATGTATAACTTTTTATTGGGTAATGTTACAATAATATAAAAATAGAGGTCCACAAAAACATTCTTTGGTACATACTCGAGATAAACCAAACTAAACATATTTCGTATGTAATTTAAAATTAAAATTGAAAAGTAAAACTCTGCAAAAGTCCATCTCTTCTCTATAGTGTAGGAGAGACGGACCAAGTCTATGAGGAGAGATTGGCAAGAATTAATTTAAAGCTATTTTTGCCTAGTGCTGTGTTATCCGCATAGAAGACACAAATTTATGAAGGATGTGCATCCTTCGTGCAACCAGCGGCTACATATGAGGCACTTAATCAAATCTTTTTTTTTTCTTGGTGATCCTGTAATCCTCTTTACACCCAGCACATTCGGTTTCATAATCTAAATCGTATTCAGACTCTTCTTTGTCATTTAAGACTACTCCTTTCTTTCTCTGACTCCGTGTCAAAAGAAGGCACTCGTTTGCGCTTTCCTGTCGCTTTAATAGTATTTCTTTCAGATTGTTTCTTCTGCATTTTTATTTTTCTTGCCTAGATTGGTTAATTTGTTTTATTTTCTCTATATTTTCCGCAGAATTTAGTACAGCTGCAACTCCTTTGACACGTTTTCTTACATTTTAAACAGTTTTCGTTATGAGCGGTATGGCATCGAACATTTTCCTAGATATTTCATCAGCGGGATCTTCTTCAAAGTTTGTTTTCAGAAATGCTGGCCTCTGCTTGATCAATGGCATTTCCAATTAGTTTTACTGATATATTCTGCGGAATGCCTTCTGTAGCATTGGATACCAAATTATGTATAAAGGCATTATGTGGAAGCACGTAAGGGTTGAATGGAACTATTCCAGTTGAACAAAATGCTGATACTGCATTTTCAACGGTTGCTGCTTTATTCCATGATTCAACTAGTAATTTCCCAAATTGCAGCCTATTTAGTTTAAGAAAAGCGTTAGATTTTATGAAACGGTTGCATGTATTTTAATAATGAGTCTTTAAAGATTTAAAAAACGCACGATACAATGTTTGTAAATAGTGTGTAGTGTGTGCACCGGCAAACATAGGAGAGTAATATCATGTTGGTCAGCATAATCTTGCATTTCCCAATAGGTTGTATGTGAATGTGACAATCCAATACTAAAACAACCTTCCCGGGCATTTTTTTGGAAAGAATTGGGTCTGTAGCCTTTAGAAGAATATGACAAAGTTAACATAAGCGGATTTTGCGACATATAAATGGCCGAGCTTGGGGCATCCCGTCTAAAAATTCGTCCTTCCTTTTCTTTCCTTTAAAAATGGAAAATGGAGGAATAAATACTTTTTTGGCATTGCAGCATGCCAGAACACTAATTGTTTGACCTTTTTCGCCAGAACTAATTATAGGTACATATTTTGACCCCTTTTTAGCTAGAACATTACCAGCCCTAGTATTAAGTTGAAGGCCAGTTTCGTCGGCGTTATTACCCAGTTTTTCATGGAGATCATTTTCTGTTACAATTTTGTCAAATAACTTATAGTAATAATCCTCTACGTCTCTAGACATGGCCACGGTTCGTACGGCTGATACATTTTTGCCCTTCCAAATAACAATATCGTCATTGCGGCGCACAAAATACGGCAACCATCTATACCGAACTATTTCTAAAAATAAAAGTTATTGCAAAACTTCTGCACATGTTAAGTTAACTTGCCAGAATCTTTATTAAATTTATGTTGAATTTTAATTTTTTCCGCCAGTTTGAGTATGCCATTATGCATACCTCATTTCTAGTAGGGGCAAAGCCATTTTTTTGTAACTTCTTTATATCAACAGCAATTTGTTTTTCTGGCTCTTTACCAAGGCATGAATCTGGTCCCAATCTATTTCTTTTTTAAACATTATTGGCCCTGATTCTTCTTAATGATGTGGTTTTAGGAATATTGAAGCTCTGTGACGTTTCAATAATTCCCATTTAAACTACATTTACTGTACAAACTGCTTCTTGTAAATTAGCCTGTGACCATTCGCCTCCGGAATGAGTCTCTGGTGTTCTTTTATACACGTTAGGCATCTTACGCACACTAAAAAAAAAAATACATGATGAATCATCCATACATACAGATGGACCTGTCCTCCTCTGAGAGGAGATACGGTCCAGTATATTTTTGCCGGGTAAAACATTTTATTTACTCTTTTTTAAGTTTTATACATTCTTTAGACATATAGTTATGCAAAACTTAGAAAAAATATACTTTTAACTTACCCAAAAGTTACAATCTTAAGACAGATTTCGCCACTTAAAACTTTTAGTCCTGCCAATTTTAAAAAACGTGTCTAAACGAATACTACTATGAATAAATAAAGTCTGACTTATCTGTCAAAAGAAATTATTTATTTCAGTAAAAATCATGGAATCATGATCAAATCTAAACAAAAACTTTTATTAGGCCGATAAAATGTACTCAAATTTTTATTTTAACTACAAATATGGTTGAGGTATAAATAAAATGTCTCCCTCTTGAACCTGTACTACGTTCTGAAAATTAAATTACTGCACTCCTTTCTTCTTTAGACTATGCAATAATAAACTTTTCCACCACTATAATAAAGAGTACAAATGTTTGATAATTTAATTTAAATACTTTTTTTTAATTTTAGCTAGAAAAAGTTACCAGTTACGAAATTCGAAGAATCATCAGAACTCAAATTCGATTAGTAAAGAAATTAATATCAGAGAATCGTTTAACGATCTATATACAAGAACACAGACGCTCAAAAACAAATAAAGAACATTTAGAATCTACTTCTCAAAAATCTGAATACCAGTCCACTTATTCTTACAGCGAAAGACGTACATCTTCAGATACCACTACAAAAGACTCAAGAAAACAAAGTCCAGTAAGAGAAAGAAGTCCTCAAAGAACCTCTAGTCCGCTCAAAAAACCGAGCGCCGATGAAACGACATTAAGAAGTACGTATACAATTAGAAAAACATCTATTCCAAAAGAAAATGTTGAAAAGACTGAAGCAATTAAAACAGAAAGAACTAAAACAGATAGAACTACAACAGACAAAACTACAACAGACAGAACTGCAACTTACAAAAAAGTGACAGAAACAAGGAAACAAAGTCCTCCTCGCCCTTCAAGCCCAATCAGGAAGCTCCATCCTGATGAAACAATTATAAGAAGTACATATACAGTAAGAAAGAGTTCTATAGATAAAACTCCCGAAGTAGTAAGTAAAAAGACTGAAGAAATTCGTAAATCTAGTCCAGAGAGGACTAACAAAACTAAAACCGATCAAATCAGAAAAACGAGCACAGACAGAACGACTTACACTACAACAGAAAGAAGTACGCAACAGTCACAATCAATTTCTACCAAACAAACCAAAGTAAGTTCTGAGAAAAGTCCAACAAGAAAATCGGAGCCAAGAAGACCGAGTCCGGATAGAAAACCAGATTCCAAGAGTACCTATTCAGTTTTAAAGAAAACTGAAATCAACAAGAAAAAAGTCGATGATTCTAAACCCGAATGGGTAACACAAAGAAATTTGAAAAAAATCACACCTTCGTCTGCAAATAATAAAGTTAGAACGACTAGTAGTAAGACAGTGAAACAGGAAAAAATTGTTTCTTCCAGCAGCTGTCAACCAACTGATTTAATTACATCTAGCTATGGAGTGGGTCCAACTGATGAAAATGGTACTCCTTTGTTCGGATTAAAAGCTTTGAGGACGCAACATAACAATAACAACACAACTAAAGGTAACTGAATCTTATATATTGTAAAATAATCATTAACCTTTGAAACATAAATTTACTTCATACCAAATCAAGGAACCCATGTTTCAAGTATCGAGTGACACCTCATTTAAAATAAATTTAATATCTCTATCCTCCAGTTACAGCTCGTGGTAATTTAAAATGGTTTTTCAATTTTAAATTAGTTTTTTTATTTTTATTTTGTTTCTGTGTACGGTTGTACTCGCATTATATTGAATAGCATCCGCAAGTGTTTCATTGCAAATATGTACATGTTAGTCCGACTCTCATTTAGTTTAGTTTTAGTAGAGACTTAACCGGCGTTTTCTAAATAGAATTTATTTCCTTGAATAACTTGGCAGATACCGCATGCCAATTCATTGTAATTATTTACATATTAGTCCGTTTTTCATTTAGCTTTAGTAGAGACTTAACGGGCGTAGATTCAACAGACTCCATTTCACGAGACAAGAAGCCACCTGAAGTTGTAGTCGTATGCGCGATCGTATCGACAGGTATCGACATAACCAGCGCCATATTAAAATTTTTAGGTTTGACTGTAAATCAGTAGCGTAACCATTTTAAATTTAATGATTAAATAAATATATGGAAATGGTGTTGGTCAGTTTTCGCCCATTTCAATGCAAGAATTGTTGAAATTAAAAAAAAATATTTTTTTTACTTTCTTTACGTATAGTTGCTCCCTGGGTGAAATCAAATTTATGCATTTAATATCAACATTTTACATCAAATTATTTATTTAAATTTTTTATGTAAAAAATATAAAAAAAAATAATTTAAAAAGCAAAAAATATTTTTTGTTTATAATTGCTTTCTGAGTAGGTATATGTGTAGACATTGCTTTATACAAAAAATGTAGATTAAATTTCTTTGAAAATGGCGGGTTATACACCTTTTTTTTGGATAAAAATGGACTAGCAGAGACCTTGCCCTGTTCTTGGAACATAATCAATAGCCTATTACTTCAAGTCCTAAAGATATCGTTTAGGTAATAAAAAAGGCAAAAAAACAAAATAGAAACTTATGAATTTGTTTATTTTAATCAAGTAATGTTTGAAAAATATTGACAACATATTGATTTAATGGTTTCTTAAATTATGATAAAAATCATTGAAAAGTTGGAACTCAAATGCCATAATATTATGTAACTTTAGAATTAAAAGTTTTCAATTTTAAAAAGCTGGTAAAAATATATAAATTTTTATAACATTTTACATCTAAAAACTTTAACGAAATCTGCAGCATACAATAGTAGTTAATCAAAGTATTGTACATTACCACCCAGTTCTTAAGCAGTGCCCAGATTTGTTCTATTTGATTGAATTCTGGATGATATGGTATCGTAAGACTTTATGCCCATGTTCTTTCAGTAAACAATCCAATTTATAGGAAACAGGAATACCTAACGAAAATGTTTTTATTAATTCACACAAAGCAGGTTTTGTCTAAATGGCATCATGGTCAATTTTGTGGGCCCTAAACTATTCTAATATTTCTGCTTTCCTAGAAACTGAAATAATACTTTTTCAGTTTTCACGTTGTGGTAAGAAGCATTATCTACAACCAGAACTCATTTCTTAGGCATATTTTGCAATAGTTGTTCCTGAACCCACTTCATAAAGTTTGAATGATTCATGTCATCAAGGTAGTCTCCAATTTTAGAACCTAAAAAGAGTAGAATAAATGTATTCTAGACCCACATGAAAATTAGCTATTTTGTTAATAAATTAGGTACATGATAACTGAACATTTAGTACGGATATAAAGTGAAGGATTGAAAGTTTTATTTGAATGTAATTTAATAAAAAAAAAAAAAATAGGGAGTGCAACAAGTCATATTATGACATTGTAAATTGTGTTGTCTAATTTGATTGTTTAAATTATATTTGAGAAGAACAAGCTATAAGTATTGCTATTCAATAAGAAATAAAGGTGTAATTAGGCATTTGAGGCTATCACACTCGTTTTTGTCATTCTTTACTACGAACACCATTGCGATTTAAAACTGGTAATTGCTTCCTTTGTACTTCCTTCGGACTTTCGTTACTTCCTTCTGACTATTCGTACTTCCTTCATACTTCTTGTACTTACATCGTACTTTCCGTACTTCTCGTAATTCTCGTACTTTTCGTACTTCCTTCGTACTTCCTTCGTACTTCCTTCGTACTTTCTTCGTACTTCCTTCGTACTTCCTTCGTACTTCCTTCGTACTTCCTTCGTACTTCCTTCGTACTTCCTTCGTACTTCCTTCGTACTTCCTTCGTACTTCCTTCGTACTTCCTTCGTACTTCCTTCGTACTTCCTTCGTACTTCCTTCGTACTTCCTTCGTACTTCCTTCGTACTTCCTTCGTACTTCTTTCGTACTTCTTTCGTACTTCTTTCGTACTTCTTTCGTACTTCTTTCGTACTTCCTTCGTACTTCCTTCGTACTTCCTTCGTACTTCCTTCGTACTTCCTTCGTACTTCCTTCGTACTTCCTTCGTACTTCCTTCGTACTTCCTTCGTACTTCCTTCGTACTTCCTTCGTACTTCCTTCGTACTTCCTTCGTACTTCCTTCGTACTTCCTTCGTACTTCCTTCGTACTTCCTTCGTACTTCCTTCGTACTTCCTTCGTACTTCCTTCGTACTTCCTTCGTACTTCCTTCGTACTTCCTTCGTACTTCCTTCGTACTTCCTTCGTACTTCCTTCGTACTTCCTTCGTACTTCCTTCGTACTTCCTTCGTACTTCCTTCGTACTGCCTTCGTACTGCCTTCGTACTTCCTTCGCACTTCCTTCGTACTTCCTTCGTACTTCCTTCGTACTTCCTTCGTACTTCCTTCGTACTTCCTTCGTACTTCCTTCGTACTTCCTTCGTACTTCCTTCGTACTTCCTTCGTACTTCCTTCGTACTTCCTTCGTACTTCCTTCGTACTTCCTTCGTACTTCCTTCGTACTTCCTTCGTACTTCCTTCGTACTTCCTTCGTACTTCCTTCGTACTTCCTTCGTACTTCCTTCGTACTTCCTTCGTACTTCCTTCGTACTTCCTTCGTACTTCCTTCGTACTTCCTTCGTACTTCCTTCGTACTTCCTTCGTACTTCCTTCGTACTTCCTTCGTACTTCCTTCGTACTTCCTTCGTACTTCCTTCGTACTTCCTTCGTACTTCCTTCGTACTTCCTTCGTACTTCCTTCGTACTTCCTTCGTACTTCCTTCGTACTTCCTTCGTACTTCCTTCGTACTTCCTTCGTACTTCCTTCGTACTTCCTTCGTACTTCCTTCGTACTTCCTTCGTACTTCCTTCGTATTTCCTTCGTATTTCCTTCGTACTTCCTTCGTACTTCCTTCGTACTTCCTTCGTACTTCCTTCGTACTTCCTTCGAACTTCCTTAGTACTTCCTTTGTACTTCCTTTGTACTTCCTTTGTACTTCCTTCGTACTACCTTCGTACTTCCTTCGTACTCTACGTACTTCCTTCGTACTTCCTTCGTACTTACTTCGTACTTCCTTCGTACTTCCTTCGTACTTCCTTCGTACTTCCTTCGTGCTTCCTTCGTACTTCCTTCGTACTTCCTTCGTACTTCCTTCGTACTTCCTTCGTACTTCCTTCGTACTTCCTTCGTACTTCCTTCGTACTTCCTTCGTACTTCCTTCGTACTTCCTTCGTACTTCCTTCGTACTTCCTTCGTACTTCCTTCGTACTTCCTTCGTACTTCCTTCGTACTTCCTTCGTACTTCCTTCGTACTTCCTTCGTACTTCCTTCGTACTTCCTTCGTACTTCCTTCGTACTTCCTTCGTACTTCCTTCGTACTTCCTTCGTACTTCCTTCGTACTTCCTTCGTACTTCCTTCGTACTTCCTTCGTACTTCCTTCGTACTTCCTTCGTATTTCCTTCGTATTTCCTTCGTACTTCCTTCGTACTTCCTTCGTACTTCCTTCGTACTTCCTTCGTACTTCCTTCGAACTTCCTTAGTACTTCCTTTGTACTTCCTTTGTACTTCCTTTGTACTTCCTTTGTACTTCCTTCGTACTACCTTCGTACTTCCTTCGTACTCTACGTACTTCCTTCGTACTTCCTTCGTACTTACTTCGTACTTCCTTCGTACTTCCTTCGTACTTCCTTCGTACTTCCTTCGTGCTTCCTTCGTACTTCCTTCGTACTTCCTTCGTACTTCCTTCGTACTTCCTTCGTATTTTCTTCGTACTTTCTTCGTACTTTCTTCGTACTTTCTTCGTACTTTCTTCGTACTTTCTTCGTACTTTCTTCGTACTTTCTTCGTACTTTCTTCGTACTTTCTTCGTACTTTCTTCGTACTTTCTTCGTACTTTCTTCGTACTTTCTTCGTACTTTCTTCGTACTTTCTTCGTACTTTCTTCGTACTTTCTTCGTACTTTCTTCGTACTTTTTTCGTACTTCCTTCGTACTTTTTTCGTACTTCCTTCGTACTTCCTTCGTACTTCCTTCGTACTTCCTTCGTACTTCCTTCGTACTTCCTTCGTACTTCCTTCGTACTTCCTTCGTACTTCCTTCGTACTTCCTGCGTACTTCCTTCGTACTTCCTTCGTACTTCCTTCGTACTTCCTTCGTACTTCCTTCGAACTTCCTTAGTACTTCCTTTGTACTTTCTTTGTACTTCCTTTGTACTTCCTTCGTACTACCTTCGTACTTCCTTCGTACTCTACGTACTTCCTTCGTACTTCCTTCGTACTTCCTTCGTACTTCCTTCGTACTTCCTTCGTACTTCCTTCGTACTTCCTTCGTACTTCCTTCGTGCTTCCTTCGTACTTCCTTCGTACTTCCTTCGTACTTCCTTCGTACTTCCTTCGTATTTTCTTCGTATTTTCTTCGTACTTTCTTCGTACTTTCTTCGTACTTTCTTCGTACTTTCTTCGTACTTTTTTCGTACTTTCTTCGTACTTTCTTCGTACTTTCTTCGTACTTCCTTCGTACTTTCTTCGTACTTCCTTCGTACTTCCTTCGTACTTCCTTCGTACTTCCTTCGTACTTCCTTCGTGCTTCCTTCGTACTTCCTTCGTACTTCCTTCGTACATCCTTCGTACTTCCTTCGTATTTTCTTCGTACTTTCTTCGTACTTTCTTCGTACTTTCTTCGTACTTTCTTCGTACTTTCTTCGTACTTTCTTCGTACTTTCTTCGTACTTTCTTCGTACTTTCTTCGTACTTTCTTCGTACTTTCTTCGTACTTTCTTCGTACTTCCTTCGTACTTCCTTCGTACTTCCTTCGTACTTCCTTCGTACTTCCTTCGTACTTCCTTCGTACTTCCTTCGTACTTCCTTCGTACTTCCTTCGTACTTCCTTCGTACTTCCTTCGTACTTCCTTCGTACTTCCTTCGTACTTCCTTCGTACTTCCTTCGTACTTCCTTCGTACTTCCTTCGTACTTCCTTCGTACTTCCTTCGTACTTCCTTCGTACTTCCTTCGTACTTCCTTCGTACTTCCTTCGTACTTCCTTCGTACTTCCTTCGTACTTCCTTCGTACTTCCTTCGTACTTCCTTCGTACTTCCTTCGTACTTCCTTCGTACTGCCTTCGTACTGCCTTCGTACTTCCTTCGCACTTCCTTCGTACTTCCTTCGTACTTCCTTCGTACTTCCTTCGTACTTCCTTCGTACTTCCTTCGTACTTCCTTCGTACTTTCTTCGTACTTCCTTCGTACTTCCTTCGTACTTCCTTCGTACTTCCTTCGTACTTCCTTCGTACTTCCTTCGTACTTCCTTCGTACTTCCTTCGTACTTCCTTCGTACTTCCTTCGTACTTCCTTCGTACTTCCTTCGTACTTCCTTCGTACTTCCTTCGTACTTCCTTCGTACTTCCTTCGTACTTCCTTCGTACTTCCTTCGTACTTCCTTCGTACTTCCTTCGTACTTCCTTCGTACTTCCTTCGTACTTCCTTCGTACTTCCTTCGTACTTCCTTCGTACTTCCTTCGTACTTCCTTCGTACTTCCTTCGTACTTCCTTCGTACTTCCTTCGTACTTCCTTCGTACTTCCTTCGTAATTTCTTCGTATTTCCTTCGTATTTCCTTCGTACTTCCTTCGTACTTCCTTCGTACTTCCTTCGTACTTCCTTCGTACTTCCTTCGTACTTCCTTCGAACTTCCTTAGTACTTCCTTTGTACTTCCTTTGTACTTCCTTTGTACTTCCTTCGTACTACCTTCGTACTTCCTTCGTACTCTACGTACTTCCTTCGTACTTCCTTCGTACTTACTTCGTACTTCCTTCGTACTTCCTTCGTACTTCCTTCGTGCTTCCTTCGTACTTCCTTCGTACTTCCTTCGTACTTCCTTCGTACTTCCTTCGTATTTTCTTCGTACTTTCTTCGTATTTTCTTCGTATTTTCTTCGTACTTTCTTCGTACTTTCTTCGTACTTTCTTCGTACTTTCTTCGTACTTTCTTCGTACTTTCTTCGTACTTTCTTCGTACTTTCTTCGTACTTTCTTCGTACTTTCTTCGTACTTTCTTCGTACTTTTTTCGTACTTCCTTCGTACTTTCTTCGTACTTCCTTCGTACTTCCTTCGTACTTCCTTCGTACTTCCTTCGTACTTCCTTCGTACTTCTTTCGTACTTCCTTCGTACTTCCTTCGTACTTCCTTCGTACTTCCTGCGTACTTCCTTCGTACTTCCTTCGTACTTCCTTCGTACTTCCTTCGAACTTCCTTAGTACTTCCTTTGTACTTCCTTTGTACTTTCTTTGTACTTTCTTTGTACTTCCTTCGTACTACCTTCGTACTTCCTTCGTACTCTACGTACTTCCTTCGTACTTCCTTCGTACTTCCTTCGTACTTCCTTCGTACTTCCTTCGTACTTCCTTCGTACTTCCTTCGTACTTCCTTCGTACTTCCTTCGTACTTCCTTCGTACTTCCTTCGTATTTTCTTCGTATTTTCTTCGTATTTTCTTCGTACTTTCTTCGTACTTTCTTCGTACTTTCTTCGTACTTTCTTCGTACTTTTTTCGTACTTTCTTCGTACTTTCTTCGTACTTTCTTCGTACTTTCTTCGTACTTCCTTCGTACTTTCTTCGTACTTCCTTCGTACTTCCTTCGTACTTCCTTCGTACTTCCTTCGTACTTCCTTCGTACTTCCTTCGTGCTTCCTTCGTACTTCCTTCGTACTTCCTTCGTACTTCCTTCGTATTTTCTTCGTACTTTCTTCGTACTTTCTTCGTACTTTCTTCGTACTTTCTTCGTACTTTCTTCGTACTTTCTTCGTACTTTCTTCGTACTTTCTTCGTACTTTCTTCGTACTTTCTTCGTACTTTCTTCGTACTTTCTTCGTACTTTCTTCGTACTTTCTTCGTACTTCCTTCGTACTTTCTTCGTACTTCCTTCGTACTTCCTTCGTACTTCCTTCGTACTTCCTTCGTACTTCCTTCGTACTTCCTTCGTACTTCCTTCGTACTTCCTTCGTACTTCCTTCGTACTTCCTTCGTACTTCTTTCGTACTTCTTTCGTACTTCTTTCGTACTTCCTTCGTACTTCCTTCGTACTTCCTTCGTACTTCCTTCGTACTTCTTTCGTACTTCCTTCGTACTTCCTTCGTACTTCCTTCGTACTTCCTTCGTACTTCATTCGTACTTCCTTCGTACTTTCTTCGTACTTCCTTCGTACTTCCTTCGTACTTCCTTCGTACTTCCTTCGTACTTCCTTCGTACTTCCTTCGTACTTCCTTCGTACTTCCTTCGTACTTCCTTCGTACTTCCTTCGTACTTCCTTCGTACTTCCTTCGTACTTCCTTCGTACTTCCTTCGTACTTCCTTCGTACTTCCTTCGTACTTCCTTCGTACTTCCTTCGTACTTCCTTCGTACTTCCTTCGTACTTCCTTCGTACTTCCTTCGTACTTCCTTCGTACTTCCTTCGTACTGCCTTCGTACTGCCTTCGTACTTCCTTCGCACTTCCTTCGTACTTCCTTCGTACTTCCTTCGTACTTCCTTCGTACTTCCTTCGTACTTCCTTCGTACTTCCTTCGTACTTCCTTCGTACTTTCTTCGTACTTCCTTCGTACTTCCTTCGTACTTCCTTCGTACTTCCTTCGTACTTCCTTCGTACTTCCTTCGTACTTCCTTCGTACTTCCTTCGTACTTCCTTCGTACTTCCTTCGTACTTCCTTCGTACTTCCTTCGTACTTCCTTCGTACTTCCTTCGTACTTCCTTCGTACTTCCTTCGTACTTCCTTCGTACTTCCTTCGTACTTCCTTCGTACTTCCTTCGTACTTCCTTCGTACTTCCTTCGTACTTCCTTCGTACTTCCTTCGTACTTCCTTCGTACTTCCTTCGTACTTCCTTCGTACTTCCTTCGTACTTCCTTCGTACTTCCTTCGTACTTCCTTCGTAATTTCTTCGTATTTCCTTCGTATTTCCTTCGTACTTCCTTCGTACTTCCTTCGTACTTCCTTCGTACTTCCTTCGTACTTCCTTCGTACTTCCTTCGTACTTCCTTCGAACTTCCTTAGTACTTCCTTTGTACTTCCTTTGTACTTCCTTTGTACTTCCTTTGTACTTCCTTTGTACTTCCTTCGTACTACCTTCGTACTTCCTTCGTACTCTACGTACTTCCTTCGTACTTCCTTCGTACTTACTTCGTACTTCCTTCGTACTTCCTTCGTACTTCCTTCGTGCTTCCTTCGTACTTCCTTCGTACTTCCTTCGTACTTCCTTCGTACTTCCTTCGTATTTTCTTCGTACTTTCTTCGTACTTTCTTCGTATTTTCTTCGTACTTTCTTCGTACTTTCTTCGTACTTTCTTCGTACTTTCTTCGTACTTTCTTCGTACTTTCTTCGTACTTTCTTCGTACTTTCTTCGTACTTTCTTCGTACTTTCTTCGTACTTTCTTCGTACTTTTTTCGTACTTCCTTCGTACTTTCTTCGTACTTCCTTCGTACTTCCTTCGTACTTCCTTCGTACTTCCTTCGTACTTCCTTCGTACTTCTTTCGTACTTCCTTCGTACTTCCTTCGTACTTCCTTCGTACTTCCTGCGTACTTCCTTCGTACTTCCTTCGTACTTCCTTCGTACTTCCTTCGAACTTCCTTAGTACTTCCTTTGTACTTCCTTTGTACTTTCTTTGTACTTTCTTTGTACTTCCTTCGTACTACCTTCGTACTTCCTTCGTACTCTACGTACTTCCTTCGTACTTCCTTCGTACTTCCTTCGTACTTCCTTCGTACTTCCTTCGTACTTCCTTCGTACTTCCTTCGTACTTCCTTCGTACTTCCTTCGTACTTCCTTCGTGCTTCCTTCGTACTTCCTTCGTACTTCCTTCGTACTTCCTTCGTATTTTCTTCGTATTTTCTTCGTATTTTCTTCGTACTTTCTTCGTACTTTCTTCGTACTTTCTTCGTACTTTCTTCGTACTTTTTTCGTACTTTCTTCGTACTTTCTTCGTACTTTCTTCGTACTTTCTTCGTACTTCCTTCGTACTTTCTTCGTACTTCCTTCGTACTTCCTTCGTACTTCCTTCGTACTTCCTTCGTACTTCCTTCGTGCTTCCTTCGTACTTCCTTCGTACTTCCTTCGTACTTCCTTCGTACTTCCTTCGTATTTTCTTCGTACTTTCTTCGTACTTTCTTCGTACTTTCTTCGTACTTTCTTCGTACTTTCTTCGTACTTTCTTCGTACTTTCTTCGTACTTTCTTCGTACTTACTTCGTACTTTCTTCGTACTTTCTTCGTACTTTCTTCGTACTTTCTTCGTACTTCCTTCGTACTTTCTTCGTACTTCCTTCGTACTTCCTTCGTACTTCCTTCGTACTTCCTTCGTACTTCCTTCGTACTTCCTTCGTACTTCCTTCGTACTTCCTTCGTACTTCCTTCGTACTTCTTTCGTACTTCTTTCGTACTTCTTTCGTACTTCCTTCGTACTTCCTTCGTACTTCCTTCGTACTTCCTTCGTACTTCTTTCGTACTTCCTTCGTACTTCCTTCGTACTTCCTTCGTACTTCCTTCGTACTTTATTCGTACTTCCTTCGTACTTTCTTCGTACTTCCTTCGTACTTCCTTCGTACTTCCTTCGTACTTCCTTCGTACTTCCTTCGTACTTCCTTCGTACTTCCTTCGTACTTCCTTCGTACTTCCTTCGTACTTCCTTCGTACTTCCTTCGTACTTCCTTCGTACTTCCTTCGTACTTCCTTCGTACTTCCTTCGTACTTCCTTCGTACTTCCTTCGTACTTCCCGTGTACTTTTGAATGTGAACTAATTTTAAGTGGGTGAGTGGGGCAATATTGTCTTTTTTAACACGTGTTGTTCATCATACTTCCTCAGCGATTTACCCTTCGCATCAAATTACTGTTTAGAATATAATTAGCACATCATAAAAGAAAGAAGCCTTGTAATATAATATTTTTTACCTGCTTACCTATATTACCACACCATTTCTCATTACTATATTTCACATTTCACGTATGATTTTGAAAATTTAAAATCCTTAAAAAAGATATACCTATGTAGTAATGTTTTTAAAAATGTTAATCTTTTATAAATATATAATAAAAAATACATTTTTTAAATATAATTAACATAAATTTAAATTTTAAAAATGTACCTACTTATTTTAAATTCCTTAATTTTTGAAATCGAGTAAAAAATTATTTCAAAGCTAAAATATTCTGATTTCAGTTCAAGGCACCGTAATTCAAAGTCAATATTATTCCGAAAATGGACAAGAACCTGTGGGACAAATTAGCGTTACGAAATATTCTACCGATCCGAAGGACCTGAGCACCAACGAACAAATCGAAAATAACAATTTTATAACAAGCGTAACAACGACACAGAAGTTTGGATATGAAGATACTCCTTCATTAGATGCTCTAACCAGTAGCAGAATGGTAAAATTACTTGCACTTCTAGTTCTTTAATAAATAAAATTACCATACCTACCCTAACCTAGCTATAAAAGATACCATTTAGTTGTCTTCTGTCGATTTTGCCAATATGTTATTACCTGCTTGGTCAAAAACTGAATAGACATAGTAGTTCGAGAGTTGACAGTAAAAACGACTACCTCATAAGTTACCAAAAGTTTAAATTAACATGTTGGTACTACTTTAGGTCGTTATTCTAAAACCGTCCATCTGTCAGGCGTAAGTGGATGATTTATTAAATTTAAGAATTTTTTAAAAAATTGCTCATAAGTACTCAAGCCACGCCTTTTGATGAAAGCGAATGTCGAATTTTGTGAGACTTGTTTAATGTCGGTAGGGTCCAGTCAGGTTAATTCGAAGATATAGAACCTAGTTCTTTCCAAAGTGGAGCTAGTACATATAATGTGCTCTGCGGATTCTTCTACGAAAATCGACATTCCTATATTTCTTGCAGACCTATCCTTCTCATGTGGTTACTTAGACGCCAATATCATATCATCAGTCCCTTGATAATGCGTAGGTCTTTCCTACTTACTCCATTCCCGGATCTGAGCAGAGGCGTTCATGGAAGGGTTGGGTACAAGCGTCTTTAAATCAGTAAGATCTGGGGTATGTCTTTAGTTTGTGAATGTTGCATCTTCCGTATATTTTGAGATAATACCTTTGTGCTCTTTGCAATGTCTAGAAATGATTTCAGTCCGATGAACGATTCGGTTCCTCTTTTAGGGAGAGCGTTCAAATGATACATATATTTGATAAATACCATATTTCAGAGTCATGTAATAGAAACAAGATAAATGTAGCTTTGTAGAGTTTCAAATTTGTTTGATGCAAAGACATTGTTTGTTGAAAAAAACTTGTGATCTCACCTGGTAAATCCTACTGATATTTCTATCTATTTCGATAAAATTTGATTTCAATTGCTCTGGTCAAACTCATCTTAGTTATAAAGAGTAATTGAAAAATATTAAAGAGACTGCCTTTGTTATCTGTATCTCTAAAAGATATAACTTAATGTATGTTTCATAACCTCTTCCCCTCCCAGCTATAAAACTGCATTTAGTTTTTCTTATCCTTTTCATGTATCAAAACTACTAGGGTAGATACTGTTTCCTGTTTTCTCCCTTTAAAGCCATTTATATCTTCTATTAAGCAAACTTTTGTATTTTAGAATACCCAAATTGAGGATTCTGTAGTTAGCAGCGACAGAACATCAACTTTCAAAAGAAAAAATTCAGTAAAAGAGCTTTCGCAAAAATTTATTGATTCCACAGGTAAATTTTATTTAAAAATATTTTTATTGCAATATGTTAATGTTTATGTTAATGTTTTTAGTTGATACTTTGACAAATGAAAGGCAAACGTCCTACCCAAAGGCAGGTCTAATTTTGCGAACTTCAAGTTTCAAAGATTCAAAAGGTGCCTCTACTGAAGAAGATACTTCAAAAGGTAAGAGATACAAACTGATTTTTATTCACTACTCTTCGTTCTTACTCTAGCAAGATCCACTGATTATACGTAATCGTAGCTAAATACAAAGTGTTTCAAAAAGGTGGTTGCGTTGCTAGGAATAGGTAGAACCACTACAAAATAAGTTGGGTTTGTTTATTAAAAAACCTTCGTAACGGCAGCCGTTTTCAAGATACAACGTATTAAAAAAAAATGTTATACTCATTTTTTACGATTATGTCGAAACTACTGGCAACATTGTAATGATTTTTTTACGAATATGTTTTGAAAGCTGACACATCGCATAAATTTTTGATATGTTGTAGTTGTTGACTTGCTGAACAGTAGTGTCCGTAGGCACAACTCAATCCTGTGACTAGTTTTTGATATACAGAGAGTTTAACTTGCAAATTGGCGATTTTTTAAAAATACTACTATGATTACAGATATTTTTCGAGAATAATGCTTCACTGATATCAAATAATATTTTCAGCATAACAAATGACGTAAATTATTATTATTGGTTACAGGCTGAGTCATAAATTAGTGAAAATCGAATTTAAATTTTTAGTTTAGCATAGAAATATTTTCCAAATTAATATCATGCTGTAATAGCCTTCGCTTAAATAATCAAAATTAGGCAATAATACATTCTAGGCAGGGTGAGTCAAAAAGTTGATAGACCCTCTATGCTGTTTTTAATAAAATTTTACGTATCGTATTTTAATAAAAGACATCAAACAATTTTTAAATATGTATAATTTATAAAGATAGTTAAAGCGAAAAATGAAACAAAGTGGTTTTTTCATATCTCACCCTAATATCTAAAAATTTTGAATGTTAAATTGCATAATTTTTTAAACTTACTTTATTTTGAGTATGCCGAGAAAGTGCAAAAGTTATATGAACTTACTATGATCAGTTTTGAGATATGAACAGTTGAATTCATTTCCTCGTCAATCATCACTCATTCTCAGAAGTAATTTTTTGTACAAAATTCTATGGTTTCTTTATAATATGTTAGATGTTGACACTACACTAATTTTATTTTAATGTCATCATTCTTTGACCTACTTTACGTTCACCTTTGTCTGACTGATGATTATATTTTTAAAAAGATACACTCAATTAAGATATAATTTTATGGAAAAATCAGCAGTATAAAAATGAATAATCAAAACGTCGATATTAACCCTTCTTGTGGAAACAAAAATTATGAAATAATTTAAAGTATGGCACCTCATGAAAGCTAATTTTACAAGTAATTCAATGCACCACATAACGTTATCCTAAATAACTCCTAGAACTTTTAAACGTTATAAGGCAAACTCTAGAAATAATGTTTTTGGTTTTTAATAAATAGGTAATTGTATTTTAAAAATTCTTAGCATCAATTATTACTTCATTTTCTAATAAAATTATTCCGAAAACAGTACCACAGAAGAATTGAGAACAATACAGAAAAGAAAGTTATGGTCGGAACTTTGAAGTTGAAGGGATAGAAATATTTGACCTTGAGTTCCACCCACATACTTTGATTACTATACGAGGCAAGAGAGAGGTCCGACACGCCCAACATAGAGCGCGGCCATTTTGATCCCTGTGACACAGTTTACAGCTAAAGAATCAGATCGCTCACTCTGCGTCGGCACTTTTGATCTCAATGTTTCAGTTTATACACTGTGCAACTTGGATAATACAATATATGACAACCGCCTATAATAAAACAGCAGTCTTCTGCGTATCCTGAATTTGTATCCCTGGAGTGGATGTTATTTTGGAACTTTCAACTGGTCCGAGTGGGCTAACTGATTCTTTAGCAATAAACTGTGACTTCAAAAATAATATTCACTGACACTGACAGCAGCAAGCAAAATATCAGGTGCGTTTTAATCATCCGCTTCTGCTTCCGGAATTGTCGGTTCAGTCGTTTTAACCTGTCAGATTAAAACAAGAAAACCGACAATTCCGAAGCAGAAGCGGATGATTAAAACCACCTATTAAAAATATTGCGCCAAGATGTAGGCAACACGTAATAAGGGTTCAAAATGGCGGAGTTTTCTATCTCCTTTTATAAGGCACTCAGAAAGCTGCGCAGTGCGACCATTCTCCGTATAGTAAAAGAAAAAAAATCAAAGTATGTGGTTCCACCACAGAGATACTCTGAGAAAACGTAATTATTAACAGTATACGCGAACGTAGCTATTCACTGAACCTACACTGCGAAAACTACATTTCTCTTTTATATAATTATGTGTCATATTTTATGAAAATTTGCATAAATGCATTTGAAACTATTCTCGATTTAAGTAAATTATTTTTACTTTCCTATCTGTATACAGATATAAGAAAAGTATAGAAATCATGATTTTTTTCGACCTCGATGATTGTGTGTGTGTGTGTGTGTGCGTGCGTGCGTGCGTGCGTGCGTGCGTGCGTGCGTGCGTGCGTGCGTGCGTGCGTGCGTGCGTGCGTGCGTGCGTGCGTGCGTGCGTGCGTGCGTGCGTGCGTGCGTGCGTGCGTGCGTGCGTGCGTGCGTGCGTGCGTGCGTGCGTGCGTGCGTGCGTGCGTGCGTGCGTGCGTGCGTGCGTGCGTGCGTGCGTGCGTGCGTGCGTGCGTGTGTGTGTCTGTATAACGCATAACTCATGAACCGATACACAGAAAAACACCAAATTTTAAACTTAAGCTTTGTTTCAGCGTCCAATGAGCTGATTACATTTTGGGCAGAGTCGGAACATCTGGGGGGGTACTTTATGGTTGGTCATTTTTATATTTTATGGAATATATATGTTATTTACGTTTGGAGAAGAAAATTCTTTAAATAAAAGTTACTTCTAATATAATTATCTATAATTTTTGTTTTATGCAAAATTTTCCTAAAATGGTCCGTATTCGAGAAATTTGACAAAATGTAAAGAAAATAATTTTTTATAAAAATTGTTCAAATAAAAGTTGTTTTTAATATAATTATCTATAATTTTTATTCTATACATAATTTCTCTAAAATGGACCGTATTCGAGATATTTGAGAAAATGTGTAAATTTCGAATTTTGAAGAAAACTCAAAAACGGATAAAGAAAAAAACATTAAATTTTAAACTTAAGGTTTATTTCGGCCTGACGTGAAATGATTAGATTTTGGACAAAGTCGGAACATCTGGGGGGTACTTTATGGAAGGCCGTTTTTATATTTTATGGAATATATCTGTTATTTATGTTTGGAGAAGAAAATTGTTCAATTAAAAGTTACTTCTAGTATTATTATCTATAATTTTTGTTTTATGTCAAATTTACCTGAAAAGTCCGTATTCGAGAAATTTGAAAAAATGTGCAAAATTCTGATTTTTAAAAAAATTGTTAAACTAAAAGTTGTTTGCGATATTGATCTCTATAATTTTTGTTTTTACATGATTTTTCGAAAATGAACCGTAATGGAAAAATTGGAGAAAGAGTGCTAAATTTAAATTTTTCAGTATTTTCGTTTTCAATGAATATCTATAGAAAAATGTTTCGAGGTGTATGTGGAAAATGTATATATTTAGTTTATCCTCTAAACATTTATAGAGATGCTGCAATAGGTTGTACAAAATAACCGGAAAAAGCCTATAATAACTAGATAGGAAAGTCATGTGTTGGACACATCAGATTTTTTGATTTGTAGCACTTCCGATAGAGGTTTCAAAAATAAAAATTATAAAGTTTTAAACAATAGTTTATTTTGCCCTGTCATAATGAACTATTATTAATATTGTGCCACAAAACTCACTAGTCATTTATGATCCATAAGTATAAATCAATTGGGATAATTGTTAAAAAATCATTAGCTAAAGCATATTTTAGGGATTTTATGAATAAAAAAAAAAAGAAAAATAAATAAACGTGTATTTATGAAATTGATAAGTTTACAATCTAGTGCATGTATTTTATTAAAACAGAATTGTTTGAAAATTAAAATAATTAAAATTGTTTACATAGATTTATAGAGCAAGCCTAATTTATAATACATAGATAAGTAGCTTTATTAAAATAGCTATATCCTAATATACAACAAAAATATAGAATAATTATACAAACGATACTTACTTATAGAAAATATTAAATGAGTATTTATTTTTCTTCTTTTTGCACCATACAAACGTTTTCTCAACGTTGCTATCTTCAGTCGCAGTCTCTGCGTTCTTGGAGTGTTTGATGATAACAAATTACTCGTTTGAATTTGTGCTGTTACACAAGTTAGAGAAACAGATTGTTGAGTATGCACTTGTTCAATAAATTCTACTTCTGCTGAAGTTGAGGGTAAACACAAGTTGTCTTTGCCTTCTTCGCCATGAACAACAAATTCCTCTAAAAAAAGAAAGAGAAACCAAATTTTTATCAGATCAACTAGTGTCAAGAAGGTGCATGATTTGTCATAATTAAATGTTTTAGTCACACTTTTTAGCCAGATGAAATTTAAAATAATTTTATAAAATGTGAATATATTTCTGTGCCCAGGAGGTAAACTGCACTGTCATTCTAGCAGCAGATTGAATGTTGTTAAATTATTAAATTTCAACTAGATGTGCATTTAGACACCCATTTATTGTCACAATATTTATATTTTTTACTAACCTATATAACTACTAAAACCACTTTATTTTAATTTGCATAAGTTGTTGTATGTCGACATAGTGCAGTTTACCTCCGAGGTAGTTCTACAAAATGGAATGTATGGGTTGATATTCTAAGATTATTAGTACTTATCATTTTATTTTTTAAACTACTAAATGTAATGTTAAAAAATGACAAGATGAGTAGCAAACTTTTTGTAACATTTAACTATAAAATGTATTTATTTACCTTGCAAAACTGTGACTCTTTTCGTAGGTTCTGAATGGGGAAATACTGTTGGGAATGCATTTGCAAATAATCGTTTTCTTATTCCTGACTGATAAACGAATTTATCCTGGAAGTGTAGTTCACAAATTTTGTAATTTTTACTTAAGCGTTCAACACCCTTTCCCAATAACTTCTCTCTATTTGATGCCTTAAGCCACAATTCAAGTCTGAAAAATACATACAATCATTGTACTACCATGATATGGCAAAGTCAATTCCTATTACACCCTCAAGGTTTCATACCTACATCACTGGATCTTTCACAAGAGTGAACAATCCTTCTTGCCACCTGTTCTTGAGGTACATCCACGATAAATACAAGTATATCCTCCTCCTCTTTGACGCGGCATTGTTTATGAACCTAATCTTAATACGTGCAATAAAGTCCTTAATTAACAGCTCCACAATTAAAAACATCAACAAAAACTAAAAATAAACCACTAAAAAAACGTTAAAGTTATTAGAATATTCGCTAAAAATAACCAAAGATCCAAAACGACAAATAAAGACACGACATGAAAAAAAATATTGATTTTCTAACAGCGACAGCAGTGACAGATTCGTTCATCTGCTATAAAAGTGTGCACTGTTGCACTTCGAACAAGTAACAAATCTACGGTTCAATTTTGACAATGCTCCACCATGAAGAAGGTGTGGCTTCGGTTGCTAGGTTCCTGTTTTAGCCCTATGTTTCTTTTCTGTATTGTTTTTTATCCTGTGACAGTACCCATTATCGAATTTTATCCAAAGTAACTTTTTGGTCTAAAATCGAATGATGTTTGAGTTCACAAAAAATTTGGACTAGAAAATTTAAGCTCAAAGAAGTTATGTTTAAAACTACTTGGGTACGAACCGTGGAACTAGCGTCCTCTATGAGAGGCAGATATAAAAACAAATTTATGTTTCAGCTTCTAAAACATATTCGAACAAAATTTCATTACAATGTTGCCGGTAGTTTCAACATAATCGTAAAAAATGTGTATAAAATGTTTTTTTTTTTTAATATTGTTGTATCTTGAAAAAACTATTACGAACATTTTTTCTGAGCAAATCCAGTGTCCTACTTTTTTTAAAAGAACCTGTATATATAAAGCTACCTTTAAACAATAACCTCCAGTAAGTACGTAGGCTTGCTAAATTGCAGTTTTTTTTTTTTTTCAGGAACAATAACAAGTACTAAAACTACGAAACAAACCACTACAACGAAGAGTGCAAGTGGTGGTACATTTTTAAGTAACAAATCTACCGTTTCTGGAGTACAAGACGTTATATCACGAATGAAGACTGAAGAATACCAAGAAGGTAATAATTAAAAATTGTAACTACAATTACTTAAATCTCGTCTTTATTCAAGATAGCTTTGAAATAAAATATAAGATAATCATTTAAATTATGTCGGTTTGTAAGCATAAGTAACATTCATAAGCCCCTGACAAAGTGGGTAAAGTATATGAGCGATGTAAAAATAATGTTTACTGGGAATTGTACATAATTCGATAAAAAATTAAAAATACTGTAATAAGGTGCTATTTAGTACTAAGTGTCACAAGCTGAATTGTTAGTGAATAAAAAACTAATATTTTGGAGATTGTAAAACCAGAGGTGATCCAAAATTAGACTGTGCAGAAGGGTATTTTTTTCGAAAAACGAGATATTGGTGTAGGTATACCATTGCATAGAGCGTAACGTGTACTACAATATGACCGCAAAATCCCAAAAAGTCACTTTAAAGTTAGGTAAATGTATTATTTTAAACATTTAAAAACCATTGGGGCTTACGGTCCAAAAAAAATAAAAATGCGATTTCCTCGGTTTTAGCTTAGGAAAAATACGAAAAGTACAAAAAAGTTACTATTGATAAAAGTTTCTAAAATGTGTTTAGATCATAAGAAAATATCAAACATAATAATCAACTCATGTTAATTAATATAAAAGAAACAACACATGAAGCATTTCATTCATAACGTATCTTTTGTTTGGTCCCAATTATTTTATGCAGATTGAAAGAAGACAGACTGTAATCCTAAATTGCGTCTGGCAACGCTGCTGTTACACGCAACTAAAAGTCTGTCGATACCAGTAGCGTATTTTATTAAAGATAAAATCATGACTAGATTTTTGTGCGAAGAAGGTTATTAATTCGCAGTAAATACTAAGTTTAAATAAGTTAAATATAAAAAATAAATCATGAAATACTAACAACCTATATGGTGTGCAACAAACTTTATAATGGTTTAAACTTTAAAACCTATTGGATTTGGAATAAGGGTATGCAGTTGAATGGAATGTAGATAAAAAACTTAAAAACAATATTTATTTTTTTCCCAAGAATAATACAATATTTATTACATATAAAGATGTTAAACAAAATAAAATAAAAACAAGATAAATAAATCAAGTTTTATTTTAAACCAATTTACGAATCCAATTTTGAACAGTTCTACAAATTGGTAATAATGAGAGATTTTTAAATTAAAATTCCGATTTTTAAGACTAATAAATTTATAAAAGTTAATAAAATCAATAAATTTGCCACATTCAAAGTAGGAATTTTAAATGAAACACTACTTATAGCGGATCTGGCGATAAGAATTTTGTAAAATCCGAAAACACGTAGAACTTATATACCAAACCTACGTTAGTGCTAGGCGTGAAAAAAAAATCTACGTATTTATTTAAAAAATAAAATATTCATTTCTAAACAATACTACTTTTCTATTTATACTTCTTATTCTATTTTTTTCTTGAAATATTTAACTCTTTTGTGGTCTCAAAATGAATGTGAATATTGAAATAATGTTTTAATATGAGCTTTATCAAATCTAGTAAGTGATTTCAAAAATATAGCCATCAAAAATATGATCTTCAAAAAAATTTAATGTTAGATTCAAAAGTTAAGTTTTTACAGTATTTAAAATTAATACCTATATCGAAAATATGATCCCAGCATAATACTCTTTTTCGGATACCTTCGTTTTCTTCCTCTTCCTGTTCGTCCTACAAGTGATAGTCAAATATTTCTTGTCTGCCTGTCAGTTGGGAATCTAAAAAGCAAGCAAACGCATATTTATTTTATTACTAAAGTCCAGACTAAAGTGTTTCCATTAAGGTGATTACAGCACCTCCTTATAATTTTCGGACAAGGATATCTCAAAAAGTAATTTTTTTAAAAAATTAAAATTTTTGCAAAATATATTAGGCAATAGTATCTAGAATATGCATATAATTTAAAGTTTAAATTCCTTCCAGTTTCCGAGAAAAAAAATTAAAGGCCTTTAAATTTTGAAATATCATAATGAAAATTAATGCATTTCTCAACGGCACTATTCTTAATATAATCCTGAAATTTGAGCTCTTAAGGCCTGTTCATAATTTTTAAAAATTCGCCAAAAATAATGGCTAAAACGCCTCGTTAAGTGCTGCCTTCTGTTTTAACGCGACTGTAACTATCGTATCGTACACTGTCAGTCATCATTTGTTTCCTGAAATGATTTACACCAATTTACACCAGAGATAGACCTTAACGAGGCGTTTTAGCCACTAATTTTGGAGAATTTTAAAAAATAATTAACAAGACATTAAAAGCTTAAATTCATGGATATTAAGAATAGTGCTATTGAGGAATGCATTTATTTTCATCGTGATATTTCAAAATTTAAAGCCATTTGATTTTTTTTCTCGGAAACTGGGATGAATTAAAACTTTAAAATATATGCATATTCTAGATATTATTGCTTGAGATATCCTTGTCCGAAAATTAGGGGGTGCTGTAATCACCTTAATAACAATTTTTTGCGAAATTAATAACTTTGAAATTTCAAAGGAAATAATTAATAATAATACAATGGTAGATTTATGCTGCGTTTGAATATTCACATCGGATGCATCTAAGATATTGTAAATCTTTGATCACGTGATTCATTCAATATACGTAAATGTAGTAGGATAGATGTGTCTGATGTAGATAAACAAACGCTCGAGATTCAAAAAATGTATGTGGATATTCAAACGTAGCAAATACATGTAATATTACGACAATTATCTTTAAATCTACACCACTGAACAATGCAATATATCACCTAACCTTTTACTTACTTACGAAAAGACACTTCAGCACTCACATTATCCAGTTTTTTGCACAAAATACACTCGCGAACCATGTTGTGAGCTATACACTAAAACTATAAGCGAAAATATTTCCAAAAAAGTATAAAAATCAACAAAAACACCCGATATGGAACAATTTACTGGATGGCAACGTTGCAAACTATTGATAGATAAAATAATATACCTGACGTATAGTATGAATGAAAATGCGGTGTTGTCACATTTAACGCTTTTAAAATCCATGCATTTATTTGCAGGCCTATTAATAGTGTTTGCCATAGTTTAACTTAGTATTTGCAACGTTGTTATTTAGTAGGCGTATGTATGTAAAAACTATAGGTACAAAAATGCCCTGCATAATGGTCTAAAAATAGGTGCTGCTAAAATATCAAGTCTGGTGAAAGCAGTTAAAATAGCTTAATGTACTTTGTACGGTTTTTGTTTTGTTATAAGTCATTTTATTTAGAGGCTTACTATTAAAAACGTTTCGGAAAATATTGCAACAACTCTTCCCACAATACGTCGAAGTGGAAAACACTGCACTAGGTACGAAAATGAATTGGTGGGGATGCTTGATGTGTCGCAATTTATCTCGAAACTATTCTAATTAATAAAACTTGTTGCTATTAGTGAGTTATAACTAAAAACTATTTTTAAATATGAAAGGGATAAACTACACAGCCTGGCAACAGCGGACCAGGCAACGCATGTCGGTTCTTTTACGAAATAGCTACACGCTACGTTTCTTTGCAATGTATGATCGGGTTTCAAAGTAAATAGAGGAGCTTTGAAAGCAAATCAATTAAAACGGCTGCCGTGGATGATCTATATTCGGCTAACGATGCCTCAGTATCGCTTTGTATATCTCATTTTTACGTATTAATTCTTCATCTGGCTATCTGTAGTTGAAGGGGTGTACTATGTTCCAGTGGTGGAAACTATCGTGTGACTTGTCAAATTCAAAGTAATGTTGCTTACCGATAGATGTTTTCGTTTTTTGCTGGCAATAAAATAAGCTGCTTCTAGACGTCAATAACAATAAAAAAAAACTTTGCATTTTCTGTCGTCCAGTTTTGCTACTTTCGGTGTTAGGATTTTGGCTATTTACGTTTTTTTTTTATTACAATTCGGAATTCGTCTTAAACGCGGTTTAATATTACAAGAATTTTTAGATGTCAGAGATTAAAATTAAAAAAAAATGTAATTAGTACTAGGTATAAACTTGGAACCAAAATTTAAAAAATAGTTTTATTCTGCCTTTTTTGTCCGTTATTATACATATGTTATATGGGATTTTCATTTTACAAAATAGAATTAAAGGTTGATTAATTTTTTATTTGGGAATGAGTTCTCCTTAATATAATATTATTTTCATTACGATGGTTTGTGTTTTGCGTCTATTTTGACATTGAAATTATTTTGACCACCGTTCTGTAATGCTTGATATGATTCTGGATACAATCTTGTTATATAGAGTGATCCCAAAAACATGTCTCTAAAGTAGACCATGAAAAATATAATGCGTACTATTCTTTTTTTTTTTAATAACAGTGTGGATTTAATTCAGAGGCATGTAGTTTATTACCACATAACTCGTATTTCTGTCTTTATCGAATATAACCTACTTTAGACATTTTTGTGGATCACATTATCACATATTACATACCAATAATATTAGTAGATAATTACAAATTTTACTAGGTATAATTGGGTTTAAGAGAAATGAAAAATAAATATTTAACAAAAAAAAAAAATGTGATTGTCAATTATAAATAATATATATATTAATAGCAATTCTGTTAATATTTCCATAAGTTTTATGAGCCGTATCAAGCGTTAGGGGGTCAAAACGTCAACCGATCAAAAATTCATATACAAAGCATAGATAAAGAGAAAAATCTAATAAAGTAAAAGTGTGTAATTTAAACTAGTATTTGTGGGGGGCTCTGCGAAAATGTAATAATACATTTTTAAATATTTATCGAACCTTATTAAAAAAGTTTATAAAGACAAGCGTCTATTGACTTCTGTTGATTTAGAAGTTAAGCAGATATCAGCTTTTGTTATTTGTCTTTATCACAGTTTCTTTAAAAATTATAAAAAATTCATACCTACATTATTTGGGAAAGAAAAGATGTATTTTGAAAATATAAATAAATTGAGTGATTATCTCATCAATGAGCTTCTGAAAAAAA